TCCATTGTGCCATCGATCTTTGCACAAATTTTCTGATGTTTCTACTGACTCCTGTTATTTCTAGGCACTTTATTATCCAATCATGTGGCAGAGAGTCAAATGCCTTTTTGTAGTCAATCCATGCCACATTCAGGTTGGTCTTCCTTCTCTTGCAGTTTTCCAAGATCATTTTGTCTATTAGGAGTTGATCTTTTGTTCCTCTGCTATTGGGGCGGTTTCCTTTCTGCTCAGGTGGAAAGAGATTGTTTTCAACTAGATGCTGTTGCACTGCATCAGCTACTACACCAGTTAGTAATTTGAAAGTTGTTGGTAAGCAGGTAATTGGCCTGTAGTTACCTGGTGTTGCCCCTTTTGCTGGATTTTTCATTATTAGGTAGGTTTTCCCAGTTGTTAGCCACTTTTCAATTTCTCCTCCTTGTAGTATATTGTTGAACTGCTTGGCAATGAGTGGGTGTATAACAGTTAGATGTTTCAACCAAAACCCATGCAGTTCATCTTCACCTGGTGCTGACCAATTTTTGATTTTCTTTGCTCTTTTTTCTACCATTTTTGTTGTTATTACTAGTTCTTTCATTTCAACTTCTGTTTTATTTGCATCCACCTCTTTTAACCAAGCCGCATCCTTGTTGTATTTCTTTGGGTTATCCCATATCTGCTTCCAGAACTGCAAACATCTTTTCTTCCAGTAGTTCTGCAGCTGCTGGCCCTGGTTGCTCAGCCAACAGTCCTGAGTCCTGTAACCCATTTTTCACCAGATATCCAGGAACTCAGATATCTAGCGCGGACCTTGTTAACCCAGGCGACGTCCGAGCCGGTATGGCATTCTGCAATTTACGTCGCACCATATTTTTTATGGGAGAGACACTCTTTGTCTGACTCCTCTGATGAGACTTGTCCAGTATGGTTGAACCTCTGGCATAGCTCTCATCTTCCTCAGAGTACACAAGCCCCACAACCACGTCAAGGTAGTGCCTCACTGGGGGATTATTATTATTATTATTATTATATAAATGAAATGAATTAAATTGATTTATTGATTAACAAATAGTGAGTTTTTGGTTTAAAGAATTTAACAGGTTCTAGTATCTATTCATCATGTATCAGTTGGTTAAAAGTCAACATCCCCACTTCCATACCATTTTTCTGTATCACCATTATTTTCCCCAGCTTTAAAAATTCGGTTTCTTCATAAATTTAGCATCTGAAAAAGGCTCAGATCTTTTATTACATATTTGTAATTTTCTAATTGACATAATTGTTTCTAGAGGTATTAAGAGTTCTAGTGTATTTTGATCTTAATACTATTCATCCAATCAAAAGTATGTATCTTTCAATAGTTGCTCAAACTGGAAAAATGACACCAATATTTGGCTTCTAGTATTTAATACTTGATAATAAGTAAGCCTGATGATATAGTTCCAAATTAGGAAAACCAAATCCTCCCTTATCGATTGGCAGATGCAATTTTGGTAAAAGTTATTATTGAAATTGGAGAAGCCCGTATAAATTTTCTAAACAAAGAATTTATTTTCTGAAACTACTTTCCAGATATATAAATTGGAATTCCTCTCAGAATATAAATTAATCAGAGGAACAACATTCATTTGAAGATTCTTCACCTTACCTAAGGATAAGCTTTAATGATTCCGATCTCTGAATATCTGAAGAAGCCTCCCTATATATTTGATTTGTATTACATGTTACTGAGTTATAACCTTTGGTATACACATAGATATTCAACGGATTTGGTATAAATAAGGAATTTATATTCCTTAAATGGATGGGTAACCAAATTTTCACCTATTGGCATCAATTCCAGTTTCAACCAATTAATAAGAGTATCCTGCTATTTTATTAAAGACATTTATCATTTGCCTCAACACTGGAATAGTAGTGTGGGATTCAGAAATAAACAAAAATTTGTCATCTGCAAATAAAACCAATTTGTGATCAACTGAATTATGTACTACTCTGTAGATCTCCTTATGTTGTCTAATAGCACAAACCAAGGTTTCCACGCAGGAATTAAAAAGCATGATTAAACACCCTTGTCTTGTTCCTCTGAATAGTGGGAAAGTTATAGAAAACACGCCATTAACCTTCACTTTAGATGTGGGCGACTCATAATGTCTTGATCCATTTTATGCATTCCAAAGGAAAACTAAGCCCATTTAATGCAGAAAACATATACTGTTTATATATTTTGTCAAAGATTTTTTTCAGTGTCTATGTTTTCATGCAAGTCTATTAAATCTACAACTAACCTAATGTTGTCTGCTGCTTGCCTCGTTTTTATAAACCATGCTTGATCCTTCTTAAGAACATCGCTTGCTGTAATCTATTTACTAATAAAACTGCTGTAAAGATCTTTGTAGCAGCATTAATAAGATTGGAGAATTAGCACAGAGTGTAATTTTTCACCTGCTTCTGGTATAATTGTAAAATAAGTCTGGTTGAATGCTTCAGATAAAATTCCCTTACCAACTATCTCATCATACAATTGACAAAGTTTTTGCACTAAAAATATAGAGTATGTGGCAGTTGTTCATTTATTTATTTTCTATGCTGCCCATCTCAATCCCCTACCCACTTAACTAGACCTCAGTGAGGCTTCCTTTCAAATTAGTTCGCACAGTCAGACTGCTCTAAAGAAGCCTAAGTTGATGGTATCCTTTTAAAATTCTTTGGGCTGATCACTTTTTTATTACAAAGAGAAATCTGGTTCTTTATTGTCCTTCAGATTCTATCTACGGTAGTCCTTGACTTACGACCACAATTGAGCCCAAAATTTCGGTTGTTGAGAAATTTGTTAAGTGAGTTTTGCCCCATTTTACAACCTTTCTTGCCACAGTTGTTAAGTGAATTGCTGCAGTTGATAAGTTAGTAATCCAGTTGTTAAGTGAATCTGGCTTCCTCATTGACTTTGCTTGTCAGATCGCTGAAGGTGATCACATGACCTTGGGACACAGCAATGGTCATAAGTATAAACCAGTTGCCAAGCATCCGAATTTTGATCATGTGATCATGGAGTGGCTGCAGAGGTCGTAACTGTGAAAATGGTCATGAGTTACTTTTTTCAGTGCCATTGTAACTTTGAACTGTCACTAAACGAACTTTTATAAGTCAAGGACTACCTGTACAGTGTTAGAAATATTTTTGTTTTCTCACTGGAATGAAATTACTTACAGTTAATAAACAATACAAACTAAGTACTCTTAGAATATCATTGCTAACTGCATTAACAAACTGATCTCCCAATAAGAGTTCCATCACATATACAGTGAGGAGAAAAAATATTTGATCCCCTGCTGATTTTGTATGTTTGTCCACTGACAAAGTAATGATCAGTCTATAATTTTAATGGTAGGTTTATTTTAACAGTGAGAGACAGAATAACAACAAAAAATCCAGAAAAATGCATTTCGAAAAAACTAAATTGATTTGCACTTTAATGAATGAAATAAATATTTGATCCCCTATCATTCAGCAAGATTTCTGACCCCCAGGTGCCTTTTGTACAGGTACTGAGCTGATATTAGGAGCACTCTCTTAAAGGCAGTGCTCCTAATCACAGCTTGTTACCTGTATAAAAGACACCTGTCCACAGAAGCAATCAATCAGATTCCAAACTCTCCACCATAGCCAAGACCAAAGATGTCAGGGACAAGATTGTTGACCTACACAAGACTGGAATGGGCTACAAGACTACCGCCAAGCAGTTTGGTGAGAAGGTGACAACAGTTGGTGCAATTATTCGCAAATGGAAGAAATAACTGTCAATCTCCCTCGGTCCGGGGCTCCATGCAAGATCTCATCTCGTGGAGTTTCAATGATCATGAGAACGGTGAGGAAACAGCCCAGAACTACACAGGAGGAGCTTATCAATGATCTCAAGGCAGCTGGGACCATAGTCACCAAGAAAACAATTGGTAACACTCTATGCTGTGAAGGACTGAAATCCTGCAGAGCCCACAAGGTCCCCCTGCTCGAGAAAGCACATGTACAGGCCCATCCCAAGTTTGCCAATGAACATCTGAATGATTCAGAGCTGGGTGAAAGTGTTGTGGTCAAGGAGACCAAAATTGAGCTCTTTGGCATCAACTCAACCTGCCGTGTTTGGAGGGGGAGGAATGCTGCCTATGACCCCAAGAACACTATCCCCACTGTCAAACATGGAGGTGGAAACATTATGCTTTGGGAGTGTTTTTCTGCTGAGGGGACAGGACATCACTGTATCAAAGGGATGATGGATGGGGCCATGTACAGTCAAATCTTGGGTGAGAACCTCCTTCCCTCAGCCAGGGCATTGAAAATGGGCCGTTGATGGGTATTCCAGCATGGCAATGACCCAAAACACACAGCCAAGGGAATAAAAGTGGCTCAAGAAGAAACACATTAAGGTCCTGGAGTGGCCTAGCCAGTCTCCAGACCTTAATCCCATAGAAAATCTGTGGAGCTGAAGGTTCAAGCTGCCAAACATCAGCCTCAAAACATTAATGATTTGGAGAGATCTGCAAAGAGGAGTGGGACAAAATCCCTCCTGAGATGTATGCAAACTTGGTGGCCAACTACAAGAAATGTCTGATCTCTGTGATTGCCAACAAGGGTTTTGCCATCAAGTACTAAGTCATGTTTTGTGAAGGGGTCAAATGTGTATTTCCCTCATTAAAATGCAAATCAATTTATAACTTTTTTGAAATGCATTTTTCTGGATTTTTTTTTTTTTGTTATTGTCTCTCACTGTTAAAATAAACCTACCATTAAAATTATAGACCGATCATTTCTTTTGTCAGTGGGCAAACGTATAAAATCAGCAGGGGATCAAATACTTTTTTCCCTCACTGTACAGGCACTTATAAACAAGCCTCATTTTAATTGAATGAGTCTTGCTTCTTGGTCAGGAGTTCTAGGACTGCAGCATGGAAGTGATCCAAATATTTATGGGAATGGGGTAGGGGGCAGAGAGAGAGAAAAATGTTAAATAAAAATTAACCCACCCATAATCCATGATAAGTTGTTTATTGGTTCCAACATCATTAGTAGATTGGATATTAAACAATACTTTTAAACATTCTCTTAACCAAAAATATAACAAATATTTACAATCACCCAGTAAAAATACAAAAAAGCATACAGAGGCACTGTCTTTCTAAAAGACATAAGTGTAAGAGGTATAAAAAAATAGAAGACAAACATTGCTTGTTACAGAATACTTTACAATCACTGATTTGTGCAGTTTTACAATTGCCATTGGAATACCATTACAACTGTGCAGTTTTTGCCCATATGCTCACATACGCAAAATGTCATGAATACCAAGCTAAACTGCATTCTATGTATATATAAAGAAATTAAAGACACAACAATGACAAGTACAACTGGAGGAAAAAGGGAGAGGAATGAACTGGAGGTGAAATTTGTTTGTTGGCATTAAACGTTTCAATCAAAGTATTTTTTACCTGATCAGTTTTTGAAGGCAAGTGCAATATTTTTAAAATTGCATTTCAGGTAATATGCATTACATGGACCTGTAGCACTCTTTCCTATAAACTATTTGTATGAATGCAAGGCTGAATAGATCAAGCTTCTTTCATTTACCTCCTGAGATAAATTGACATAATGGATTCTTATTGAATATCCATTACTCATCATTTGGAATCGCCTCAGCTGTGCAGCAGGATCATATCTCAAGAAGTGTTTTTCAAAAGCTGAAGTGAGAATCAGCTTTTTTAGCATTAGTGCAAAATTCTCTTAACTTTAGAAGAAAAAGGCTGGCCATGTACTTATTCAAGTGAAATCAAAACCTTTTTAATTTACCTCAGATGACACTGTGTGTCAAGGTAACTGAAGTGCACCTACAAATCACCACTTTGGAAAATGTGGTTCAGTATTATGCCTTCTTTCCTAACTTAATCTTCAGTATAAATCCTGTCTCAAACAGGAATCAAATGGCAAATTATGTACAGGCCTACTTACATATTACGGTACAGGGTTTCCTTTTCCTCCTATTCATGTAAATTAAAAACTGACGCTTGTTCCACGTTTGAGAGTTTTAAACATTCCTATTGCGCTTTTAACATAAGGTCAACTTCCTCACAATACAATTTAAACAGAATAAATGGTATATACAGAGAAGAATTGGCCCTTTCAAGAACTTGGAAAAAAATCAACACGTAATGTGGGGAGGAGAGGCAGCACATGCTAGTAATATGTTCAGTTATATAATGAATAAGCATTATGTAAACAGCACAAAATGGGGTTAGGCAGTTTTATAATGAATGGCTTTTTAAAAAAAGAAACCTTATCTCCTTGAGCTCATCTAAGCTCCATTTCAGTTTGGCTACTGTCCCTGACTAATCTGGCAAAAACCAAACCAAAACTCCAAAGGATCAGAGCAAGGACAGGCTGAGGCAGTTTGCACTGTGCAAAGAGGAAGCAGTTAAAAGGGCTTGCTGAACCACTGCATATTTACACTCTACAGGCTCTGCATTTAAAAAAAAATGTATTAAAAGATGCCCAGTGATTTTAAAAATAATGTCATTCAAAAAGCAAACATCTTTGATGCTGTTGATACAAATACATTTAAGAGGGCGATTTTTGGCTCATGAGATTTTCAACAAGGAAAGACCCTGTAGTGGGTTGGTAATCTAACAAAAATTACTACCAAAGAGAAAAAGGCTTAAAAAGGTTTTGTCTCTATAAACTGAAATATCTGAAATTAAGAGAAATGCTATAATGTTGGCCCTTAGCACTATACTGTCTATTAAGTTTAAAATTAAGTTTGCACTTATAAACTGCATGAAACATTGTATGAATTGGACTTGCTGGGAGCTCAGGACTCAGATTTAAAATTTTACTTTTGACAAGTGTTAACTTCCTTCTCTGACAGTCCAGGAATATTTGGCAGAAGGTATGTTCATACCTGCAGACATCCAAATCCATTAAGCAGTTTTAAACAGAATAATAGCATATCTATATGGTTGGACATCAGCTCTAGTAAAAACTTTAATAGGTGCTATACAAATGCCTTCCTATCTCTGTTATGGGTTTCTAGGAGATGATCCATGAAAAACACACTTTTCAAAAATCTATGAAACAATGGGAACTGTACTACTTTGGATTATATGGTGGCTTGTGTGCAGGAAAATTTCAACTCTGTTGTGCCATTATTCATAACATTATTATGAATGCTAAAATCATGGAAGCCAAGCTTCAATATTTTATCATTGTTGGTTTTCCTTAAGGTCTTGAGAGGGAGGGGGAGAGAAAAGAACCTTTATGTCTCGGCTATTTACCATCTTGTTCCATCTATAAGACGCACCCTTGTATAAGATGCTCTGGTATGCGAGTTTCTCCGCGCCGATCAGCTGTTCGGCAGAGCGCTGAACAGCTGAGCTGGCAAACCCAGAAGTTTGGCCGGCCGAAAATCTTGCCCCCTCCCCCCTCCCATTAGTGGCAAGCCCACAGGGGCTTGACACCTGCACCAGGCGGCATGACAACCTACACAGGCATGCCCTGGGCAGCGGAGGTTACCATTATTTTTCCGTGTATAAGACACTGCACTTGTATAAGACGTACCTGATTTTTGAACAGGGTGTTTGCAGGAAAAAATAGGTCTTAGACATGGAAAAATACGGTATTCCAGATATTTAAGTAGTAAATAACATATATTCTGTGAATTAATTGTTGAGTTATGTTATCACTTCTACATTCAGATTTGCAATTTCATGTTACAAGGCATTGAAGGAGTTCTCCAATAGATTTAGAACAATCCAACAGACAAGCATATAGGCTTTCTGGAAAAGCTATCACTGCTCTCATATGCAAACTGAACATTTTGACATTCACCTTGCACAGAATGTAAATCTGAAAAATCTGTATAACTTGAAGTGTAAAAAATAGAATTAATTTGAGGCACCTTTAAAACAGACAGACATCTTCTTTCTACCCTAGACTATAAACATTTATGATATTAAGGTTTACAAGTAAACTTTAAATATACATTGAGACATTCATGTCCACTGATTATGTTTGACTAGGCAACCATTATGCAGCAGGGGAAAAAATATAAACACAAATAATAACTCCAGTTTTTGCTATGCACTCTGGTTGGCTAAGTAAAGCTGCCATGTCAGTCCAGTCTTTCATTTTTTATTTTGCATAATACATATGCAAATATGTATTCTACATATGAGTCAGGGAATCATCTTTCTCTGAAAATAGCACCTTTGTAATCACCCCGCCCTGCTTGACAGCATCTCTTTCAAGGACATTCGGTGTGGAATCAGAAATGCCTGTAGCTCCACTGGATTTTAAAGTGTGATTTGAAGTCACATTTGCTGGGCATTTCCAACATCCAGCACACAAGCTTGAGATAAGAGAGTAAATTCCATCTTGCAATTATACCAGGCACTTGAGAATAAGAAGTACTGAAGTTTCACTCTCCACCCCACCCAAAAAGCTTAAGAGTTACAGCACACATAAGCCTTGTCTCTTTCTCATTTATAGAATGTGCTTACCAGGGGTGAGCAAGTAAGTGACACCAGTAGGTGACTCTGGTGGCAACAGATAATATGCTTCATTTTACAAGTTCTCAGATTTGTAAAACTGTATTTTAAGCATTCAATATGCTCCTGGTAAAATCTGGGATGATCCAGAGCAATTTTTCTCAACATGGCAACTTGTTGGGATGTCACATGGGGATCAAGAAGATTATACATCTGCAATGTACTTTAAAGTCACTGAATCAGTGGGAATCTATTATTTGGGACTTGTAGTAGATGTGTGCAGGGAAGTTTAACTCTCAATAGTCCATAACATTGTTATAAATGTTGAAATCAAGCTTTAGTATTTTCTCACTGTTGGTTGCTTTTGAGGGGAATAAAACAAAGAGTTCTGATATCTTAGCTACTTATTCTAAACATTTAAGGTTAATTAGTAAAATGTATTCCATTAATAATGTTTGAATTAGATTTGTGGTCCACTCTCTTCTATTTGTAATCAGATTTGTAATCTCGTTTTAGATATTCATATTTCATAATTTTTAACTTGCTGGCTGGAATGCAAGGGGTTTTTATCCAGATATATTGAGAGGGTAATAGTAGAGAAAAGTTGATAAAAAAGCTGTTATACATTATTTTTGGCAACAGAACAGTAGTCCAAATGCCAGTAGTAAAGTCATCAATGAATAAAATGTTGAAAAATGCCTTTCATTTCAAATCTGGAAAATTCTTTGCCTTTTTGTGTTTGTCATGTACTGGGAATTACCATTTTTCCAAATGCAAGAGCTCATCTTGGATTTCACAAACATAAAAATTTATGAACAATTTAAGTACGGGGGGGGGGGGAGACTTGCAAACCAAACTGCTCTTACAGAATGGGAAAAGTTTCAAATAAAATTGAAAGTCGGAAATAAAATACAGACTTTACTATCATCACGAACATCATCTAAGGGCCTTCTTACTTCTATGACTTTGCTCCTAAATTTACAAGTTTGAAAATTTTATGCTAGTTTCTAAAAAATGGAACTTGTTGGATACTTCTCCAATACAAGTCTTGTAGAAGGAAAAAAAAATCATTTGTAATGATACAAATGTTCCATGAAACTGTTTAGACAAGGAGGAAGAAAATGGAATGTAGGAAAGAAAAACAAACGCAACTATTCCCTTAGGGTAATCATCTGACAGCTGAAAGAAACTGTGTATTTCACTGGTTTTAAAATAAAGAATCAATAGATGGCAGTATTTCACTATTATATGCACATCGAAGGTCTTGATACTTTACAAATTGAAGTGGTTGGTGGTTGCACTGTAAGTAAACTTCTAGCTGCATTCATGAACATCCAGTTCCTCAGAAATCAAAAGTATTTTGCTTAGCATAAGACATCACATTAACACCTAAACAATTTGCTTCCTTATTTTCTTTGAAAAAGCATTCACATTAGCCAACCAGAGCATTCCAATACTTTACAAAAAAAAAAAACTTATATAAATTCCAAATTAATAAATTACTGTTGAGATTGTTGCAGAAGTTTCTTAAGTTTTGATGTAGTTTTCATGTAAGTACATGAAATAACTTTCTTCAACCAAGAGCCGTAACAGTTATAGAGAAAATATCTGAACAAAGTCTATTTAAAAGATTCTATAGTTCTTCTACAGAAGATTGCTCCCAAGCTGGCCCCGACGCATCATATATTAGGTCCTTCTTCATACTGCAATACAGGGTCAGTATTTCTTAGAATGAGTGTTTTCTCTTTCCAACACAGACTCCATCAAACTGACTGCAGTGGGCTGAAGCAAATTCAAAATTACAATCCAGATAATTCATCCTACTAGTCGAAGAGAGCAAACACAATTCTTTGAAGTCAATAGCAGCAAGCTGTCAGCTATAACTGACAATACTGTAAAATTCGTTCCTCCAATGTTGGTAAAATTTGAAACAAGTTTCACAGGAAGCGTAGAGACTAGACTGCCGATACTTGTTCATCTTCTGTGAAATAAGAAAAACAATGTGAACTCTGTGTCATGAACATACAATATATTTAAATTAAAGCTGTGTCATATCTACTGTCAGAAGCCTAGGATTTGTTTTTCTGAGTTAATATAGATCTTATTTTTTAAAAAATTAAGACCCATTCTTTACTTCTATCACTACCACTCATGCAAAGAATAACAAACATTTTAAAAATCATTTTCTAAAATTTATCTAATTCTAAATCATAATGGCAATTTAATATAGTGTAGCTCATAATGTTGGAATTTGGGATAATGATTCATAATACCATTCAGAGGCTTGTGCCTTTTATACTGAAATGCCAACATGACATTTGGACGCTTAAAAAAAACGTAAATGTGGTAAATTAAACTCAGCGTTGACTCTCAGCCACGGTCTGCAAATGAGCTGACAAAATTCTCACAGAATGAGACAGTGTGATATGGTAAAGTGCAATGTCTAGGACTGGGGGGGGAGACGGGGGGACCAGCCAGTCAGTGAGTAACCCTGTTATTAGTCACTCAAACAGAATGGAAGAGAATCATTTGAGTCTCCAGTCCTTTGATTACATGTAATATAATATGCAATTAAAGGATAATTTTGTATTAGTAGCTATATAATCTATCCTAAGAGTCAATCTGGTGTGGTGGTTAAGGCATCAGGCCAGAAACCAGGAGACTATGAGTTTAACTGTGTGACCCTGGTCCAGTCACTTTCTCTCTGCCCTAGGAAGGAAGCAGTGGCAAACCTCTTCCCCAACATTGCCAAGAAAACTACAGAGACTGTTCAGGTGGTCACCAGGAGTCAGAAACTGACTCAAAAACACAAAATATAAAAGTGAAATCCATCTTAATCTATTGTTTTTTTAGCTCTCTAGCATGCAGGTCAGAAAGGCTGACTTATTCTACCAGAAAAAAATAAAATTTTATATATATATATATATATATATATATATATATATATATATATATATCCATAGAGACCCACCCATTTTTATTAACACTGTGCTCTATTATGCAACTGCAAGCTTTTGTACAAAACAACAAAATGATTTCAAAGCAAACGGGACATGATTATACTAAAATTTCAGTTTTATAAATGCAAAATCTGTGAAAAGCATTCAGATTCATGGATTCAATTAAAAACAGAGCCAGACAAACCACAAATAATGGCAGACAACAGAAAATGAAATGCAAATGTCATGGAAGTCAAAATTGCTTATTTCCAAGAGGTAAATGAGCAACAAAGAGAAACGTGAAAACACCAGATTCAAGGTTATTTTTTAAAAAAAATCTTCATTTTATAAATTCTGTTTTTTTAAACATGGCTGTTGAGGTTTAAATAGTTCAGAACAGAGGTCAAGTATATAAAGCATTAATGTGATACAATTAGTGGGTCTCTGTGGATTTGATTTTATCCAATGAGCAATTTCAAGAGGACTGCAAGTCTTATAAATAATTGAAACTGCAACTTAAAGCCTCAGCTGTTCAGCTCTTTTTGATCTAATAGTGTTCTTTTAGAACCTTATTTGTGGAAGCTAATACTCATGTACAGCTTGGCTTCCCAGTACATACACCTACAACACGTAACTGCAGGGAGAGGCATCACACTGAAATTCTATGTAAGTTTAATAATGCTCTGTTGAGTAGCATATTAAGAAATACTCAGCTTCCTGCACAACAGGAACCTGTATCTGTTCTGCATTTGGTTAGAGTTGCTTCATGGAACTCTATGTAGCAGAGATAAATACTGCTAATCATAATTCTGTTTATCTCTAGTACATAAAAGCATAGCTAATGTAATTACTTTTAAAATAATTTCTATTATCACAGCCTTTTAAATTGTTTTCTTCTTTTTGTTGTGCGTAGGATATTTGTTTCTTCCAAATATGCTAGCTAATAATTAGTGCCCAGTACATTTTCTGTTTTGATTTGTTTTTGCCTTTAGGATCACTTATCCTCACATAAGCATACGTAAAGCATATACAAATGAACAAAAAAAAAAAAGGGGGGGGGGAGAAAAGAATCACTGAGGCACATTCATGGAGAGGGTTGTAAGGTAAGACAAACTGTGCACTCCCCCAAACTTAAAATAAATCACACACGACTTTACTCAACATCTATCAAAGGAGATCTTTTAACATACCATCCTCTTCACTATTTGCGCCAGTCATATCTGCTAGCTTAGGATGGGACGGTTGCCGGCTATGCCACTTAGGCATCTTCTTTGGAAAACAGGCCACTGGTTCACTACTCAGAGGAGTGGAGGAGAGCCTAGACAGCATCTTTGACCTCTGTACCGCCACACTATAATCTGGAGGCTTTAGGTGTGGGTGGTGGGATCCTTCTTTTATGTCCGCTAAAGAGATCCCCATATATCCTGGCGGGGTGGGCGGTGGCTCCCTATATCTAGTGTCTTCCTTAGATGAGGTGACACAGTACACTAGCATAAGAAATAAGCAATGGAAATGTTAATGAAGGAAACAAAGACAAAATAAAAGCATTTTTTTAAAAAAAACAGTGAAATGTTATCATGACTTAATCAAAAACTGATTAAACAAAAGGTAAATGAAAATCACTCATAAAACTCCACTGGAAGTCACAGTATAAAAGGAGAACCACTAGCGTCAAGCAGTGTTCAGCGTTCTTTAATGCTTAAGAATCTTTTCTACTATTTGGATGGCACATGTCAATCACAATCTCCAATAAGAGTATGTAGTTGTGTTGAGAAAAGGACAGGAGTGTAGTGGTGAAACAGTAGCTCTAATCTGAAAGGGGAGAGCAAGTCTAAAGCAATTCATTTTTAATAAGTTGGCATAAAATCAGCTTAATAGCCAACAAGAGTTGCTGTAACAGATGTATCAACTATGATTTATTTGACCATCACCATTGAATATTTTTTTTATTCCACGAATTTCCAAATTTATTTTTCTAGAAAATGTTCAGATATCAGGTTAACTGCCTCTGGTCTTAAAAAATGTATTATTTTGAAAAATTCCTCATATTGGCTGATCTATTAATATGTCAATAGCAAGCCACAATGATATCAAAATGATGGCATGTGTGGTGATGTCATCACACAAATGCCATCCTTACATACTTGTGTCAAAAACTGAATGCAAGTAGGTAAATTGTAGTATTTGATGACATAGTCACACATGATATATCTGTCAGAAACATTCTTTTAAACAAGGTGTCAAGATACCATCCAGAAAAGTCTTGCTCTAAAGTTTTTCTTCAGTATCATTTTTGTTTAGGCAATCTGTTCATATAAAGGGAAATTTGGACTATGAGGTGTCTCTGTTTTTGGAGTTGTATTGTTAAAACAAGGAAGAAATGGAAAAAATTATCAATATTGACCTGAACTACCTGATGGCTGGAAGTTATTTTTCAAAACCCTATTTCTTCAAGCTCTAGTGAATTACAAACTATTTTCATAGGTTACTTGATTCCCAACAATCTAGAATTTACTGACCATTTTTTATTAAAAAATAAAAATAAACAGCACATAGTGGAATCAAATGCAATTTAATTTGTCCTTTCCATATCCAAAAATTAACTGTACTTCATATATTTAATTTGGTCTATCTTTTAATTCCAGCAATATTTGTAAGAGTCCATGCAATTAAAATACCCAAATACAATTAAAATCACTGTTTGCTTTCATAAAATTTCAATGTGGTTTTGTTGGCAAAGCTTATTGTCATTTATTTATCAACTTTAAAGCTATCTCATTCTTACTGTAAGAGACACCCACATCTGCAATGCACATTAAAAAGGAAAAGGGTTTCAACTGCATGTGCCCACCTGCCAGCCTGACTTTTTTGATCCCTCTTAAAAATTTAGATTTGCAATCTAAATTTGTGTATTTCTTCCTTTGGAGACAGGGAGGAAGGACCGATCTTGGAGAAATATGAAATCGAAAATTTCCACGAATACTGGAGTAGGGCTAAGAGATTACTGAGTTTATAACACTACACTGAAAAGCCATTTCTAAACTCTGAACACTTTCATATCTATTACAAAATTTTCCAAGTATATTCCAATATTATATAATTGTTAGTTATCTCTGACTATCTCCTATATACATACAAGTAGTCCTCAACTGAAAACAATTTGTTTAGCGATCATTCAAAGTTTAAACAGCACTGAAAAAAATAACTTATGACCATTTTTAGCACTTACGATCATTGCAGCATCCCCGTGGTCACATGATCAAAAACTGGTTCATATTTATGACGGTTACAATGTCCCAGGGTCATGTGATCACCTTTTGGGATCTTCTGACAAGCAAAGTCAATGGGGAAGCCAGATTCACTTAACAACCTTGTTACTAATTTAACAACTGAAGGGATTTACTTAACAACTGTGGCAAGAAAAGTCGTAAAATGGGACAAAATTCATTTAACAAATTTCTTAGTTAACAACAGAAAGTTTGGGCTCAATTGTGGTCATAAGTCAAGGACTACCTGTATACGAAAGACAACAAATGCAGTCTGAAATCTTGAAGAGTTTGTTAGTGAGGTGGGAGGAGCAAAAAAAGGACACTGAAATAATATGGTATATCCTGCTCTACATCCAGTCACATCTAAAAAAGACATGGTACATTGCTAAAGCTCCTGAAATTTCTAAGTCAAGTTTATTTCCTGTGACAAGACATACAGTTTACAGCTGTTTCAATTCTAAAACAGCTGATTTCCAGAAATGGTTAAAAAAAAAAAACCTGACTGCCAAATGACAGGCTTCATTTTACTGAAACCATTATTTGATTGGAATGGAGTAAGCCTCTTTTGGGTTATTAAAACAAAAAGTAATATTCCATTATAAATAGTATTTTGATTAAGTAGAAGTGGTTGATTGCATGTAATGTTCTAATTCTCAGCTGTACTATGATCCTGAGTAATTCTTTTTAAAGTGCGGTTTAATTTTGCATCCTTAGGAAAACAAAAAAGACAGCTGTTAAAATTAGTAAGGCAAGAACAGGGTCAAAGCTGTGAAATGGTAAGTTTGACTGGGCAGACAATACTGGATTTATGGAGATCACTTATAATCCTGCATTTTCAGCAATGTCAGTTTTCCCTTTAAGAATGAAATGTTAATATATGGCCTCTTGCTTTTGGACATAAAAGTAATGGTACAAGCAAATTGTTTATGAACCAGGTGTCATTCTATCTCTTTGTTATACAGGTTATTGTTACATTGTTATCCCACTTTTTAAAAATATATTTTGAATATACATAATACTCCTGCCTCTTATTTTTCCCACAATAACCTGTCAGGTGGGTTGGACTATGAGAGAATGACCAAAATTCACCTAACTCAGGGGTCCCCAATCTCTGGTCCGTGGACCAGCACCAGTCCACGGCATGCCAGCTACCGCTCTGTGCAAACAAGCAAAGTCCCATCTGCGGGATGCATGCATCACATGAAACCATGCCCCCACCCGATCTGCAGAAAAACATCTCTCCATGGGACCGGTACCCAAAAGGGGGGGGGGCGCTGACCAAACTGGCTTTCATGCATAAATAGGGACTAGAACTCAGTCTCCGGGTTTCTCAGCCAGCGCCTTTACCACTAAACCAAGGAGATCTTTTTTTTTTCTTTTGCTGAAAGGTTGGTATTACTGCTTTTATTTTTTCTTAAACAAAATTAACTTATTTTAGCTAATTAATTTTAATTTTTTTATTTAACTAATGTCAGCAATTCTCTTCACTTGGGCACTAAGAAATTTGGAACTCTTTATCAGCAGAAAGCAGTATAGAATTTTTTAAAAAATAAAGAAGCTGAGATGCATGGAAAAATGAGGGAAAAAAGCTAGGTGCTAGAACAGTATTTCTCTATTTTTCAGTACTCATAAGTCTTTTCTTTCATGTACTCCACCCTTTAATGGATGCTATTATTCTCTCTGTTCTATTTTCAGAAGATTGCAGATCCATGCTGTCAAAACTGAGTGACCCTGATTGACAAGCATGTGACCCTATCAGGCAAAGGCTGCAAAAACAGCTTAATATGAAAATCACTGGAAGAAGAGTAACAACAAATTGCCTAGATAGGTCTGTTCAGTGAGATATGCTTTTCAAAAGCATTTGAAAAAGAAAGGAAATAGGTTTCAGGGGATGGATGCTAAACTTTCAACAAATGGAATGCTAGAAGAAATTTTCTGAAATATCTAAATTGCTTTCCCCATAGCCATGTCATTCATACCCAGTTCAAAATATTATTAAGATGTTGCTGATAGAGTATGAAATTACTTCTGGTAATAAATGTTGGGGAAATTGGAGAATAATAAATGGATGGGTAGCTGAGTAAGTTAGGCAAACGTAGCTTTTCTTACAGAATATGCAAGGTACACATTGGTAGAGTGGTATGTACTGTGCAGCATATGATTCATTTAAATATGAGTTGAAATCTGAAATAAATATAGATGCGAAGACAGCATCTAGGAACAGAGGTCACTGGACACTGAAAAAAAGCACTTTTTTTCTTAAGCACTGAGCACAATCTACTGTTCCTTTCCATGCATTCTTCCCATTATATCTGGCTTTCTAATGCCTTAAAATATTGCTTTCGCATCCCCTTCCACAATATATGGGCATGACTTATGTGACTGCAGAAGAAGCAGGGGTGTCAAATTGCGTCACACCAAAACCGTGCTCACCCCATTGCCAGCAATGGGAAAAAAGTCACGGTACGTCACGACACGTCACGTGACGTCGCGAGTTTGACACCCATGTTCTGCAATGTAGCATCCCACATGTGTCCTTTAAGAAAGGGTGTTCAAAAGAACCAGGGGGCAATTCTTATATACGTGTAATAGTACTGTGCTCTCTTAACCTAATAAAGAGAAATAAATACATGGTATGCCAGTGCCATAATTAATCTTTTAACGTCTACATTACAGATAACCTATTCTATGTTAATATCCAAGAACAGCGTTTTGATTAAGTGCAAGAATAATAATTTCTTAAACACCCTTTTGTCTGAAAGCAATGCTACAAACGGCACAAGAGGATATTTTATGTGACATCTTTCATCTTCAATCAAAAAATGGAATTTGGCATGAAGTCTGCTTCTTCTCAAAGTAGTTGTTTCCTACAATAATAGGTGTTTGATTGATGGCCAATCTGACAAGCTTGGGAAATGATACATGAAGATGATTTCCTTCCTGTCTTGAAGGCAAGGCAAAAATGCACACACTGCCCAACTGCTGGAGAGAAAAATATCTCAACTGGATTTATTCATCACAAATTTTCTCCCCGGGGCTGGTGATACCTAGTGTGAATGGTCAAAAAAATCAAATTCTTAACAAAAGAACTGCAAGAAATTTCTCATCAGAAAATACAGAAAGTCCCAAAGAAGCTACACAAGCTGCCTCTCTTCTCTGCAAGTCAATAAAACATGCTGCCTATTTTTTTAAATCCCACCCTTCCCCCAAGGAGATCTGGAGACACTCCAGCAGAGGACTTGAGTTGATTGAAGACATGTGTAGAAGGACCTTTTTACATGCAAATTGGCCTTGAGGGCTGCTGAAATCATTCCTTAACAGCTCAACTACATAATGCATAACAGCTGTGGAAACATCCACTGGCTTTTCATCAGGCTTACCTATGAGGCCATGCTCTGTACTTGAAGTGACAGTTTTGTAAGTTGCATCACTGCCAGTTTTAGCGTCCAAAACTTCAGCTTGCTCTGCTGTTATGCTCTCCAGTCCTCTTCGTTTTATGGTCCCATAGTTTGTTTCGTGCAGGTCCGACAAGGAAGTACATGAAGCCCAGCTGTGCCGGGACTGGTCAAAGTCCATGCCAGTTTTGGATTGCCGACTACCGTCTGAGTGGCTGTGTGACTGCAAACGAGTCTCCTCAGAACAGCAGCTGGATGGCTCCACTTCAGCAATGGCCCTTTCTAAATGAGCATGGCGGTAAGAGTTTAAGAGGTCCCACCCCTTTTGGTTCTGTATGTTTTGAAAATTATCATGAGAGTTACTCGAACAAGAGGTCCAGCTTCCACGGCCGCTATCTGCTGCTTCTATTGTGAGGTGCTCATGAGAAATCTCCTCGGTGCTCATGGAAGATGGGACCAGCAACCCTCGGATCACTGGAGGTCTAGGCAGGGGCCAGCTTAAACTGAAGACAGCACAAATTAGAAGGGAAATAAAAATGCTGTTGAAATTAAGATGCAAGCAAATCAGTAGGGTCGGAATCAATGTTAAAACTGCAAGGTTTTATAATTCAAAATAGCAAGGAAATACATTTTGCACTTCCTTCAACATTTAAAAAATATTAACTGAACGTGACAATAATCTGAATTGCTCTTTATCCAGGTATATTTAACAACAAGCTGGAGCTATGATTTTCTTTTAGATAAATTAATTGCCTATTTCTTCCAAACTTTCCCAAAGTCATCAAATGTAGTTTTTTTTATCTTTGCTTCTTTTTCCAGTGACAACTGACAATAATATTCATATGTTCCTGTCTGTAAATAACAGAAATTTCAATATATTTATAAACTCATCTTTGTATTTAAAAGATGTCTTAGAAGCAAACTATTATTAAACACTTCATTAGGATTAAACCCCTCATTGGGATCTTTATTTTGTAAAATCCTGTGATAAGGATTGTATGTTTGTTTGTTTGTTTTTACTTATAAACTGCTCAAAGTCACTTAGAGAGTGAAATGGTGATATGTAAATTTGATAAATAATTTTTTTTCTTTGCCAAGAGCAGAGAATAATCAGTGGAAATTAAAGCACAGGTTTTGCTGGGCTTTAAATATTACATTCATGTGCCTAGGATTTTGTTTCAAGAGAGACCAGGTCCACCAAAAATACTCTCAAGCTTTTAAAACAACAGCCATTCTTCAGCCTTCTGCTGGCAGCAGTCATAACAGAAATAACCAGAAGAGTGACTACATATAATGGGCACATGCCTGGAAATGCATCTCCTCCTTTCATGGCAGAACTATGAAATGGCTGTCGCCAACCACTGTGTCATGTTGTATCTTAATAAAACAAAACAAAAAAACCCCCCTCTCTTTTGTCTTTTTAATATGTTTGAAGCATGCTATACCCAGAGGGAATTTGTTTAAATCTCACTTCCATGCATTTTCTCCCCACCTACATTACCACACCAATTTAAATTTTACTAACATAGGGAGAATTCTAAATCTGAGGTTCTTTCAGAAGCCACGACTTGCCCCTTCTGTGAAGTGCTAAACGGCTTTTCAGCAGGCTAATAATCCCCTTGAGTGTGATGACACCACAAACAGCAAATGACTTGAATGCAACATCTTGATGCTATTGCACACCAGTCAATTATCACCACCTGCCCTGTGGGAAGGATCTCTTAAGAGGGAAGGAGGCAGGGAAGAAACAGGCAAAGACCATCCCAGAAGCTGATTCAGCTGGACCTTTTCTCATCCTCCTCCCACAGGGCCATTAAACCAAAGGCCTTGGGGAAAGAACCCTAGAGCAGGGGTGTCAAACTGCCCGGTTGCATCATATGGAGGCCACGCCCAACCCAGCTCCAACAATGCAAAAAGTCACAATATGTCACAACACGTCACGTGATGCAGTAAGTTTGACACCCATGCCCTAGAACAGTGGTTCTCAACCTTTCTAATGCCGCGACCCCATAATACAGTTCCCCATGTTGTGGTGACCCCCAACCACTTATACATCACCGGGTACCAGGGGCGTGGCCAAAGGGGTAAAAAATGGCGGACAGCCTTGTTTGGTGACCCCCCATGAAATGGTCGTTCGACCCCAAATGGGATCCCGACCCCAGGTTGAGAACCACTGCCCTAGAGGTTTGTTAATTTATCTTAAACATATGCTGTGGGATTTTCAACATCTAATTGTTCAAATAGCTTATAAGTTCAGCTACTTTTTTTTAATGCTAAAAGATAGACTATCAATAACCAATCCTGGAGGAAGAAATAATTCTTACCCGGGGCAAGGCTGGTTGTATTCAAGTGGTGGCTGAAAGGGCTCTCTCCTTTCCACTGCCCCAACTGCATCTATCACCATTGTCTGAGGCAGGCACCTCTCATCTTGAAGGGCTGCAGACATGGAGTCAGCAGAACAGTTGCTGACAATGCTGGATCGTGAGGAGATCTCACTATGGCTGGAATCGGAAAAATTCTCAGATTTGGCAGACGGGATCAGGGCATAGCCTAAACGTGACATGAGAAGACAGCATTGAGAGAAAATGTAATCACATCACTATTCAAAGTAGTTTTCCTTGAAAGATAGCTTTTCACCATTTTATCTCTTTTCTTACACGAGTTTTTGTCATTTGTTTTATGAGAGTTCCTTTTGCTCAATGGAAGACAATAAAATACAACAAAATGGAATAATTCCTTTAAGAATTAATTTTAACGTTAAGGGACAAAAACAGTGTCACTCCTTTCACCTTTCATCATCAGAGATGATGTTATGTGAAACACCAACCAGGAAGAACCTTCAAGTGCAGCAAGTACAACTTCTTCCAAAGCTAGACAAACCCAGAGGAACCTTGTTTTCTAGCTGATCAAGTAAAAGGACACTGTAATCAAAAGCAATGAGTCAACTACAGAATAGAATAGAATCAATAGAACCAATAGAATCAAGGGTATTGGCTTTTCTGCAGGTGGAATGCTTTCTCCCAAAGAAGCCGTTCTGTTTGTGCAGTTACATGCAGTTCCTCCTGCATTGCTTCTATTCAACCAACATACCAAAGACATATTGATTTAGCTGTGCAAGTACAGCCTGAACTCTCCGCAGGTGTTGTTTCACTGTATTTGCAAACAGGATAAAAGTGCTAAAGGACTGTCTTTGTTTTCTGTTTCAAGACCGATATTTAAGAAAATATCTAAGTACATAGAATTTTAATTTTGTTTCTCATTTAGCATATGATGAGATTATTGATCTAATACCTCATTTGTGATTAATTGTCTGCAACTATCTCTTTTTCTGCTATGGAGACGGTTATAGTGAACTGTGGCTTTATTAGAATAGACTGAGATCGCCCGACAGATCTTTGGGTGATTTATATGATACAACAAGGGTTTCTTATTGTCTAACCCAGTGGTTCTCAACCTGTGGGTCGGGACGCCATTTGGGGTCGAACGACCATTTCACGGGGGTCGCCAAACAACGCAGTCCGCCATTTTTTTCCCCCTTTTCCTTAGCTGTGCTACTCCCTTTTATTCTATTGGCTTTTGAAAACCAATAGAATAGACCAATAGGAATTGTCCAGGCTGTCTCTGCCCTGCTGAGCCTGCCAAAAGTCCCATTCTGCAAACGGTGCTGCACCAGTTGAGTAGTGCTCGACTTACGACCGGTTGAGTAGTCCTCAACTTATGACCGGTTGGGGGGTGGTGGCATTAAAAAGGTTGAGAACCACTGATCTAACCATTATTTTAAAAAAGACATACTTTTTAACCCAATCTTAGATTTCTGAAATGAAGAAAATGCGGTGAAGAAGCTGGAAAAAGGAAAACCAAATTAAAAAATGGCCTGGGTCCAGCAAAGTCTAGGGAGAAACAAAAAGGTGCACCCTTTTGGTGCCCTCTGATAAGAGAAGCAATTGTACAGTATGTTGGAATGCTGATATTTCCTATATTCTAAGCACCCTTCTTCCTGTTTACATGATTTGAAGTAGAACTGCTATTTGAGGAGTTGGAAAGAATTCTAGAAGATTTGCTTTGCCTGCTTTCCTTACTACATTGTATGGTATTCTCTATATAATACACTGTAAGATAATGTGCGTACACCTTAACATACTGCACGTTGAAAAAGAGAATCATTTGACCTGGTTATTGGTTGGAACTATACAAATATTTTATCTATAAGCTGCATTTGAGAATGGGGAACATTTTATTATCTTATTCCATTGTTTGTGAAGAGCAGAATTAATTTGCACGGAAAGCATTACAAGTTATTTTTGAATTTTAGGTAACAGAAAAAAGGTAATGAACAGTTTAAACCATCATTTTCATTGTTTTAAAGTGAATTTAATTTAAAATGTTGCTAGGGAGTCTTCAAAGCGGTATAAATATGGGGCAGCCAGAAAGAAGAAACATTTTTGGCTCTGCTGCTTCTCTAGCATTCCAGCTATCCATAAGCACCCTAGGCATGGGAAAATTTCGTTTAAGGAGGCAATTGTTCTGAACCGGTCTGAACTGAGAATAATAGGGGACAAGAAAGGAATTTAATATATGTGCAATAATGAAAAATTAAACACATATGAAAAAGTGACTACAGTTCATCTAAATGTCTACTTTGTCAGTAAGTTTAATTAAAAATAAATAGAGAGTGAAATATGAGTTACCGTATATGCCGCCGTATTAGGCGACCGGCGTATAAGACGACCCCCGTCTTTATAGCCGGGTCACATTCCTAGAACGTCGTCTTATACGCCGGAAACTACCAGTATTTCCAGCGTATAAGACGACCCCCGTCTTTGGCGCCGATTTCAGCGCTCGCGGAAGTCGTCTTATACGCCGGCATTTACGGTACTTTTGTCTATTTCTAGTATTTCTCTAGTAATATCTGCCCTGGCATAAAGTTATTTTTTGTGAATGATACATGCAATACTGAAAATTTCCCTTTACCTGCCAGTACAGGGAAAGAATAATCTCTTCCACTGACGTGAGTGTCAATTATCATTTCATTATCAACCTTATAGCTGACTCATAGTATGTCATTATGCAGGATTCCTACAAATTTAAGCTGTATTAAGTTTCACACTTTTTAATCTTTTGGACTATAAATGTTGAAACTCGTATGTTCTGATCTAGATGTTAGCTTCAAAAAGATCAGAACATACAACTTTCGACAGTTATATTCCATTTTTCAATTACTTAGGAGAAAAACATTTAGGCAGGAAAAACCAAAGGCACAAATACAGATTGGGCGAGACCTGGCTTAAAAACAGTAACTGTGAGAGGGACCTTGGAGTCCTAGTGCAGTGTTTCCCAAACTTGCCAATTTTAAGGCATGTGGAATTCTGGGAGTTGAAGTCCACATGCCTTAAAATTGGCAAGTTTGGGAAACACTGTCCTAGTGGATGATCACTTAACCATGAGCCAGCAGTGCACAGCTGCCGCCAAAAAAGCTAATATAATCCTGGGTTGTATAAACAGAGCCATAGAATCAAGATCATGCGAGCTATTAGTACCGCTTTATAAAACCCTAGTAAGACCACACCTGGAATACTGTAGCCAATTTTGGTCACTGTATCACAAAAAAGTTGTTGAGAGTTTGGAAAAAATTCAGAGAAGAGTAACTAAGATGATCAAAGGCCTGGAGACTAAAACATATGAAGAACAGCTACAGGACTTGGGTTTGGCTAGTCTAAAGAGAAGAAGAAATAGAGGAGACATGATACCAGTATTCCAGTATTTGAGGGGCTGCCACCAAGAAGAGGGCATCAAACTATTCTCCAAAGCACCAGAAGGCAGGACAAAACACAATGGTTGGGAACTGATCAAAGAGAGAAGCAACCTGGAATTAAGGAGAGACTTCCTAACAGTGAGGACAATTAACCAGTGGTATAGCTTGCCCCCAGAAATCGTGGGCGCCCCATCACTGGAGATTTTTAAAAAGAGGCTGGACATTCATCTGTCTGAGATGGTATAGGTTCTCCTGCTTGAGCAGGGAGCTGGACTAGAAGGCCTCCAAGGTCCCTTTCTATTCTATTCTATTCTATTCTATTCTATTCTATTCTATTCTATTCTATTCTATTCTATTCTATTCTATTCTATTCTATTCTTATTTGACATTGCAGTTGGAAGCTGGTTCAGAATTTAAAGGAAATTTCATACTACATACAACACATTTATAGTTTTGGCTTTAGCTGATGTAAGAGCAATAGTCTAAGAGACCCTGAAGGCATAGAATATGAGGATCAAACTGAGCATAATACGGAATTTTGAATGTCTTTTCTTTTTTACACTAAAAAGATTGAACATAACAAGAGTCGCCTGACAGCGAGATGGGCAGCATAAAAATTAAACAAACAAGTTCAGAAGGATTATTTAATGCCTTTCTCCTCTTCTGTTGGTCAACTAAAATTACTAATCTCTCCAGTTCTGCCATTAACTTTCGTGCCCACCTCCTGATAAGCCACAGGAAATGTTGCCACTCTAAACTATTATCAGCTGCACTCAAGCAAGGCCTCATCATCCATTCAGAGGTCAGAACACCTAATAATATATTCCTTACCACTCTTTTTTCTCTCACACAATATTTTCCTCTTCAGTGATTCTGCTTACTGAGAAACAACCTAGAATATGAAGTTAAGATATCCTAATATCTAAGGACACTTCATGTTCCTCATACTAAGTCTGTATCTTCTTTGCTTATGTATGCAAATGCATATAGGTACTGCTATTCCCAGTTTAAAATTAAAAAGACACTAGCTTGTTTAACAAAGCTAACTATGACAAAGGAAAATATACACAGCATGTCTCGCACTGTTTCTCCTACTCAACAGTACGTTTTAAAAACATCTTGCGATCTTGATGATAGCAGAAAACATCCCCCACTATATTTACATTATTTCTCCTTTATGCCTTATAACAACCTTCTCTAACCCAACATCCTCTGGATATGTTGCGACTGCATCTCACAGAACTCCTATCAACCTGACCAATGGTTGTGGTACAGCCATTGGGGGTGGAGGAAGAAGGCTGCCAAATACTCTTATTCACAAGTTTCTTTTTAAACTTTGGTTTGTAGATTAAGTGGAAGCAATTACTAAAATACGTTCTTCCCTAGTATACTATACTTCTGAGGTTCAAAGATGAAATTTGTTCCCCCATTAAAAAGTAAATGAGTCCTCAAGTCAATCTCAACTCCTTATAGTTAAATTCATCCAGTTTTCTTGGCAGTATCACAAGAGGTCATTTGCTTCTATAATCTTCTAGGCTGAATTTCCAATTTTCAAGTCCAACTATTAACCAGGGCCAACTCTGCTCAACAGTTGAGATCAACCAAGCTGAGCTATACACTGCCACTCCAAAGGCAATGAACATTTGTATAATATTTTATCTGCTGTCTCTGAAGGACTTAATAACTCTATATAATGCTATGATAATCTAAAAACATTAAATTATTAATTTACTACAGCCAAATATCAAAATCTTCTAATTTTAAGAATTTTTATGAAGTAAAAATAATTAATCATGACTGAGCTATTCAAGTGAGAGTAATTGATTACTTAAAAGGAAATACATACCTTTTTAGTAGTTATTCGGCTGTTATGCTGATATACAGTTTAATATCTATCTCTATAACTAATATTTGTATATATCCATTAAAATATTTAGGATATGAAATTAAATGATCTGATTATATAAGTTATACAAAAATATTATTTAAGAGTAAATAATCTAAATTATGCTCCATAAATTACACATTACCTCAAATACATACATTTAAGGTAAGTAAATATCTGTATATATGCTGTACATACTGTGGTCATAATAGCAATTACAGTTTACAATGTTTTAAAATCTACACAACTGAAAATTTGTCCTCTTAGATATAAACTGCAAAGCACAATCTGAATCTGTAAAACATAACTAACTGGGATTCTAAACCAAATATGAAAATATGATCCATGTTTATAAATGTTTTTTGAAAATCCCTTGGGCTTCATTTGGACTTCTTTCCAAGTAAATATAGATATAAGCAAACAGTAAGACTTGAATTCTCTACTCAAATTTTATGTTTACGGCTTTAAATATTTCAAGCAGCACAGCAAGCTTTTTCTGCAGTATTTTATTTATTTCACTAATATAATCACAATCTCCATGAATTATGTTCACCAATAGAACTATAAGCATATATAAAAAAAACCTTCTTCACAGAAGTAACCAGCTATGTGACAAAGCAGCTACACCATTATTAGCAGAAATGAATGAATTGTAAATGGTACCATATAACTGACTACGGGCTAGAAAGAATGGTAGTAAAAGCACATTTAAACCAGAATGTTATGTAGCCTATTAATTATTTGTTGACTTTTTGCCTGATACACAAAGCCAACCAAACTCCATGGAAAGAAAGCCATAACCTGATATTTAAGAAGGGCTAAGCTTGGTTTCCTAAAAGATAGCTGGAACAATCAATGCTCAGAGTTCACCATCAGAATTTGTGGCATGGTTTTCTCTAAATCACCTAAAGAGGGACAAATGCCCCCACTTCTACGAATAGATTCATATTAATATTCAAAATGAACAAGATATAGAAAAATATATTTATCATCTAGCCATTTCCATCTCAAGGGGGAGGTGGAATGAGGACGATAAACAAAAAAATATTTAACTTCTATGAAAACCAGCGCACAGCAATGCCGTGAGCTGAATGACATATCATAGTGTCTTCCTTCTTTTCGGTCTGAACTGTGGACACAACCACATCAGTGAGCTACTGTTTCCATGGTCGCTGGCTGTATGTCCCTCGATACCGGGTCTGTCCTTTTGCTTCTCACTTCTATCCCTCTCGCGCGCACATGCTGGCTCCACATGAAAGGTGAACGCTGATCTTTCCCTGGAGACACTTCTTTCCCTGAATCTTCCAAAGGGGGATCCCATTCTTTTCCTGGCTTTGTACAAAGGCTCAGGCTTGCCTCTATCCTCCTCACTTTCTCGCTTTTCGATACTGACTGATCTTTCTGCTGTCTTGCTAGTCATCTGCTGGATTTTCTTTTGCAAATAAGCCCCACCTATTCCATAGCTGCGATGTCCACTGTTCTTGTTGCTTGTTTCACTTGCAAGAGAGGAAGACGAACCAGACAGATTAAGCTGGCTGCAGTTTTCAGACCTCTGTGAGTTATTAACTACAAAGAAAAAAAAACATATATAACAAATCATATAATGACAATAAACTGCTTTTCTTCAATATACATAATGTTACACTTGGATAAAGTACAGAAAAATATACAACTGTGAGGTTAAATAGGTAGTGACAAAACTGTGGATGTTTCATTAGTTAAAGGACAAATCATCTAATTTTAGTTCTGTAAATGAGATGCTAATCAGTGCAGGAGCTACTTTTGTCGGACCAAGTCTATTCTTAAAGGAGAAAAATCCTGACAAGTAAAAAAAATAGTATCCTTAGCTTAGAAGCATAAGAAAGTAAACTAAAACACATGTTTATGGAGAAGAATTCCAGCAGAAATAAAGTTTGGCGAGTTCCAATGAAATGAAACTTGCCAACTAACTATTCAAACAAAAAAAAATATTCACGAAGTCCTCTGGCTTTTATTAAATGTATTCCTTTTTAAAGCATACAGAAGAACACATAGCAGTATTGGACAGATACTGCAATCAATAACAAATGTATCTGTAATCAGGAATTTATCCAAGGCATTAAACTCCGAACCCAATCATAAAATATCTTGGGCACTATTTTAAAACACTTTAAACACATTTAGATATTATACGCAATAAGCTTTTCATAAATGTATTAAGCTTATCTTGTTCCCCAGAGTTAAGACATGGCCCATTATAAATGCCTAAAATATCTTGAGTGTACTAACCAACGGTACAGTCTTAAGGCTGAGACTGCTCTTACCTTTGCGTGGAGATTCCTGAGGGGAAGCAGCAGGGCTGGAATGCAATGATGATGCCACAGAGATGTCATCTTCTGGGTGCTTTTTACTGCTTGGTTCTTCAGATAAACTAAGTGACTTTTGAGGAGAACCTGCACCTAGGGATGAAATGTTTATGCTTGTAATTCAGCCTGGAATATTCCTACAAAATTATTGTTTTTATTTTGTTTTCCCAAGATAGTCTCAAACTTAAATGATTTTTAAACTCCATCAAGTAAATCTGAACAAGACATAATTTTGCGGAAAAAAGCAGTAAAATATGAGAGTATTTATATATTTACAGAATTGCAAAACACACAACATAAATTAATCATATTTATTTTAATATTAAGAGCCTATTATATGGGTTGTAATTTTAAAAGTTCTACTTAATTTGGCCTTTTAAAAAAAAAATACTGAAGAAAAAATATATTTTTGAACAACAGAAATCCAGACCTCAATAGGGTAGAGATGCAGCTCTCTCAACTATCTCTGCAAGAAAAAAGTGGCACAAAAGTGGCACACCCCACCCTACACACAAAGGTTAACAGAATTAAGCTATTCGATGATACCCCTTATTCTAAACATCTTTTACCATGTTATATAAGAAAGCTGGTTGCTGTTTAATCTGCCCTTATGAAAGGAAGTTACTTTTAAAATTCTGTTCAAATACAACTACTTATCAGTCACTCTTTCATCCTTCTTCCTGTCACTTCCCTTCTCTTAAACTAAATAGCTTAAACCAGATAGTTCTTGATGAGATCACATTCCAAGCACCTGGCCAGCAGTTGCTTGACTGTGACTTATAGACAGCTGTCAACAAACCCACATATCAGCTCTATGTAAATAGCAACAACAACAAGGTTCAAGTTGCATGATATTAGGTAAGTTTGGCTGTCAAAAATAGTGAAGTAGACTTAGAAAGAGTCCAGTTCTGAATGGAATTTGCCATTTGACAAGGAGCCTGGAGAATGATAGAATACCAGCTGCACTTTTATTAAATTTACTGGGGGGGGGGGTCAATATTGTGTGCTACTTTCTCTTCTCTCCGTATATAATATAATACCTCTACTTTGAATGCTAGCACTATCCCAGGACTTCAAAAGTACAGTTTTGAAATATATTCCCCATATGAAATAACTCCCACTATAATTTTAATTCCAAATCAAATTTTATATATAACTGGGAATGGTTTTCTATCTTCCACTTGCAACCAAAACATGAAAACGGGCATTGCTACAGGACAGGAAGAAAAATCCAAATTAGATTTATCTGATTTTGAAAAAGAAAATGTTTTCAGAGTTGTTTCAAACTACAGTCTGTCAAACTATTAAACAAAGGCTTGCAGATTATTTGAATGTATGGGATTATTCTTCATATATAATATTAGCTTATTTGATAATGAAACAAAGATAAATGTATGTGCTCTGAAATAGTTTTGTATATTTACTGGCCAGATAAATTAATTATTTTTGGTATTAGGACAATCTCCATCAAGGAGAGTGCCAGGTGATTTTTCCAAAGGTGCTTTTTCAAAAGGCAACTGGACTTTGTTTTTCCTTGAAGGCATTTTGCTTCTCATTCAAGAAGCTTCTTCAGTTTTCTTGAAACGTCTTCAAGGAAGAACAAAGTCCAGTTGTCTTTTGAAAAAGCACCTTTGGGACAACCCTGACCTGGATGACAGAGAATCTCCCTAGATGTTCAAGGTGATTTGATGATTATTCCTGGACATCATCTGTAAATCTTTTTTCCTAGACCCAAGATGTATTTCAAGTCCAAGAAGTCAGAAAATACTTCTATGCAATGCAGATTAAAACTGCAGAAGTTAAGACTAACAAACTGCAAGATTAAATTCAACTTTGGTCAGAATTTCATAAAGACTTTCAATTTGTTTGAATGTTATGTTTTGATATTAGGTTTACATACATACATACATACATACATACATATACATACATATATACATACATACGTGTGTGTGTGTGTGTGTGTGTGTGTGTATTTTCTGAGGTTTTCGTGGGTGTTTGTATGTAGGTCTTTGGTTGTTCAGGTTTTCTCCGGTGTAAAATTGGAAGTGTTTTGGTCACGTTTTGACGAAGTCCCATTCATCATTTTCAGGCTGGTGTTTTCAGCTTCGTGCTCGAAGCACGAAGCTGAAAACACCAGCCTGAAGATGATGAATGGGACTTCGTCAAACGTGACCAAAACACTTCCAATTTTACGCGGGAGAAAACCCGAACAACCAAAGACATATATATATATATATATATATAATATATATATATATATATATATATATATATATGTCTTTGGTTGTTCGGGTTTTCTCCCGCGTAAAATTGGAAGTGTCTTGGCAACGTTTCGACGAAGTCACATTCGTCATCTTCAGGCTGGTGTTTTTAGCTTCTTGCTTTGAGCAGCAATGCTGCTCAAAGCAAGAAGCTAAAAACACCAGCCTGAAGATGACGAATGTGACTTCGTCGAAACGTTGCCAAGACACTTCCAATTTTACGCGGGAGAAAACCCGAACAACCAAAGACCTATATACAAATACCCGCGAAAACCTCAGAAAACATATATATATATATATATATATATATATATATATATATATATATATATATATATATATATATATATTATATATTGTTGTGTGCATGAGCCATATATATATATATATATATATATATATATATATATATATATATATATAATATATATATATATATATATATATATTTTGTTGTGTGTATGAGCCACCAAAGAGAGCAGTGAAGAAGAAAAAATACTCACTAAAAGCAACGTGGTCTTTGGCTGGTCCTTTTTTCCGAATAGGATAGAGATTAACTGCTGGAACTTGAAGAACTTGACTCATTCTGTTTTGCTGATGTAAGTGGGCTTTTGTGGTTTGGCCAACAGACCTCAGTGGCATCGGAGACATCTCTGATATTTTCGTACCTCGTCTTTCACTTAAATTTTTTGTCACTGACATTGGAAAGAAAAAGAGTAACACATCCAAGCATCACAATTAAAATATTAAATGGGATGCCTATTGAAATAGTAAATGACATGTTGCATGTAGTACCTCTGGAGCCAATTATACATTAAGTTGTGCCACCAAAATCAGGAGAATATAACACAACTATGATTAAATAGAGTCCCACTGATGGCCATAGGTCCACTCTCCTATAACTAAATCTAAATCCAGTTTCCTAATCTGAATTAAAAAATTTGGCATATATTTATTCCTCAAAAGCTGTTATCCACATTTCCACTAGGTAGCATACTTAACTCATAACAAGTTGTTGCATTTCATTTTTCATTACTGTTTTATACAAGTACTAACACAAACTGAATTCTAAATTTGTTGCTATGCTACCAGGAACAATAGTCTCTTAGTCCTAAGAAACATAAAAGCATAGTCCTAAGTACTCAGTGAACTGAAGACCTGATATTACTACAAATTATGAGGATGTTGCTAATAAATATAGAGCATACAATGAAATATACAATATATTCACCCTTTACTGAAATTTATACAAATAGCAGAGCATCAAGCAAGGTCCACTTCCAAGAAAATGGCTAATAACCATGTAATACTTGATGATCTGTCATTTGTATAAAACTAAGTAATTTCTAAAATTAAATATCAATTATGGATTCAAACATCATTTTTGCATTTCTGCTATTCTTTTTATATAGGAACTGAAAACTACATTTTGGAGTTAATTACAAAAATGTGTGTAAGCTTTATTATTACTGTAATATACATAAATGCATTCTAATTGTCTGATTGTAATACTATTTACATATTAAATCTATGCTAATAAGAAATCCATTTTCCCCATTTTGCATTATAATGGTATAATTAATGTTCTTTTGTGATGATATTTCATCCTTTCTTTTTCTTGGCATTCATACTATTTTACTTTTATTATTCCTTAATTCTGCAAAGTGCTAACTTGGCGACAGTCCAATGTGCTAAGAGAATTTTGGCAAACACAAAGATTACTAGTAAAAAGAACCTTTTCAATTTTATGCAGACTCAATCAAAAGTCAAATAATCACACGATAATACATATCAGGCTTTTCAGAAAATTCTGTGTAACATTCTGTTTTAAATGATTCTCATATTTATTTAGTGAAAACATCAACCCTCCCAAACTTTTTTTTTAACTTACAAGTGCTGTATGTAGGCTCACACTGAAGTGACATTATCTGGATTTTTTCTTCATCTGTTTCCACATTTAGATTGGATAGGTACTGTTTGACTTTCCTGGCCATCTGTGCATCTTCATACAACTTTTTTGCATTTAAAAGAGAGCTGCGCCGAGCACGTTTTTTGTGAGCACCGCCTTGAACATCCAACATGTTTGAATTTGTGCTACCCTGACTCAGTGACCTGAAAAATAAAGACAGCCATTATGTTTTAGCTTTGCTTTGATTATGAGGAATCAAAGCAGAAAACACTGAGGCAAAATGTTCTTCTATTTAAAGCACATGCTGATGTCAGATTAAAAAGAGATGGAATGTTAACACATTTGTTCCAAAGTAACTTGCAAAACCAGTAACAGAATTGAGAAAAAAAATATTAAATAAAGAGTGCAATAAACAAAAACTGGCAAAGTACCACACAGGTTCCTTCTAGTGAATGAAGCCAGGGTCCTTTCAGACTTGAACTGAAAACCTAAATATGGAGTTAAGTTTGTAATGGAAGATGATTTTTTCTAAATTCAGTGGTATTAAAGTAATCTGGGCCAGCAGTTTGAAGTAAGTACAAAATGATTATTAACTGTAGTTATTTTCTTTCCATTCTGTTTCTGAGCTTGAAAAACTGAAAGGACAATATATTATAAAAACCATCATTTCAAAAATAAGGAGAAACCTCTTCTTATTATATTCAGTTGCTTGTAACAATATTCTGCAAAAACAGAACATTGGTTCAGTATTTTTAACATCTTTATGAACAAGCTGAATGGTATCGTTGTCAAGAAAGATTAATTTGACAGTTTCTTGCTATAATTTACTTTCTATTTCTCAAAGGGAACAAACATTTGCTTTGATGAACAGATTTATGTATGAAAAACCTATGTGTACTACTAGACAGTCTTCTCTGTTATTTTATGCCAATTGTCAAGCTTTGAACTGAAGAATTTGTATTGAGGTTCAATGGGGAAAACTGCTGGAGAAAGTAAATATAACGCCCCTCAGCTACATGTATGGGATTATGATTTGTGCTTGTAGAGTCAGAGCATGTTTTGACATGAAAAAATTTACTTATTCTCATTGTATCTAAAATATAATATGGACAACTGTGAATATAAACAAGCTGTATTACTTTTAAAGCCATGTACTTTCACAATTCCCAATCCTCCACCTTTTTTGTTATAAAGTACAACTGAGATGTCACTTTGATCAGTTTAAACAATATGATTAATATTAAATAACTTAATATGAGCTGCGGTAACATTGATTCTCTACCAGCAACCCCTACCATTTTTTAAAAATCAACTATACAACATGAAACGTCTTCAACAAGATTCTGAAATTCAGCAAAGAGCATTGCTAGTACTTGCAGAGGGCAACAGGCCCCATTTGTATGGCAAATATTTAATGTTTAATATTCTCTTCTATTAGTATTTAATGTTCTTTATATTTTTCTAGCAAGAGTTTGCAAAAGACATGTTTATCGTTAGATAAAACCATCTATTCCAAGATGGCAAATAAATAGTAATTAAAAACTACAAACATATATTTTAAAGAGGGCACAGATACAAACATTTCACAATCAAAAAGATGGTTCTGAAGTTTTTCTTCCTTTTTTTTTTTAAAGGCAAGAGAAAAAGAATCAATAATGAGTGTTCTGGTAAGCTGTCGAAGATCTCTAAATTACAATATAGGAAGAAAGATTTAGGACCTCTGTCGTACAATGCAATAGAAGGAGAGAAGTAAAACTAAATAATGATTGATTTCTAGATTGTAAAGCTGGGGAAAGCTGAGAAGAAAAGGCGAGGAGCAAATATCAGATTCAAAAATGTGAGTTTTAGATCAAATAAGAGATTTCTTGTTCATTTTAATAAAGGCTATTAAAGTTTCAGATGTACTCAGACTCCTTGACAAGTAAGACTCTTTTAATAAGATTTATCTTTTAATATTTCTGAAAAGAAAAAAATAAAAACTAATTTCAAGGGTACAATTATTTCAAGTTAATACTATGTACAACATGTGCTTCAAAATCTTCTTTGGAATATAGTCATTTATTACTTTCTGATATGTTTATACAATTCAGTTAAAAACGTAATATTAAATATAAATAGAGTGCAATTTCATTAACCAAAATATCTTATCCGCATGAAAGAGATTTTCAAGCATTTATTATCAAGAGATTTGGAAGCATTTATTCCAACATAGCAGTGTTTCAATGGCATATCCTTTAAAATACTTGTGCTGAACAACAAATGCTGGAAGATTTTGTAAAGGCAAAAGATATATGAATCTGAACTATGGGAAGAAAAAAAGGATACTGAATTAACAAGCCATACAATGTTAAGTTAATACACATAATGGAGAAATGGGTATAAATAAATGCAAAATAATAAAATTATGAAATCTGATTGCTAATTTAATAACATTAGAAAAAGCAACAGGTTTAGAATGTTGCACACATTTATCATAAGGAATTTCACAAACCACAAGCTGAAAAAGCAAAACTAAATAATAGCATTCAAAATTATAAACCAATTTTCCTGAGTAATATGGATACATTGCATATATATTTTAACAGCTTGCCAACTGAAAATTGGCATGCATATTTTTCTTAAAACAATTATATTATTAAGCTCATGTTCTTTGATTGTTGCAAATAACCATTTATACTGGTTGGAAGGAAATAGGATTTTGTGCTTGATTTTCCTATTCTAAGCAATCAAGAACAAATAACTATTCATTCTCTGCAACACCTTCACTTGTCTCTGTGGGAACACAAAGTTCCAAGTTTAAAATACAAATAATCTAAAGGAAGTTCTCACTGCGTTATACTTTTTTCTTATTGTTTATTTATTTGTATCCCACCTTTATTATTTTTACAAACAAGGCAGCGAACCTATCCAACATACCTTCCTCCTCCCATTTTTCCCACAACATTGTGAGAGGGTTTGGGTTGAGAGAGTGACTAGCTCAGAGTCACCCAGTTGGCTTTCAACACTAAGGCAGAACTAGAACTTCTAGCTTGTTATCTTAATCACTAGACCAAAGTGGCTATTATTCAAGACTTTTGATGTACATCCAGATGGCCCTAGAACAGGACTCACTGCATACTACTGTGTCAGGATAGCAAAAAGACTAAAGTATATTGCTCACTGCATCATTAAATATGCCTTCAAGATATGGAATACATTATGTTTTTGCTACTTATACAAAGATTGAAAAAAAACGAATCATAGTCCCTAAATTCACATATATAATAGACTGGAGTGGATTTCATTTCCATGAAAGTAGCACAGCTGAATTTCATAAATAATGACAAATTCTATGTACATGAACATAGTATTTCAGATATGCCGAGTGCAAATACATTAGGGAAAAATTGTATTGTATCTTACTGGAATTCCTATGTGTTTTAGCAGGATTGCTTCCATAAGGACAATGGTTAGGCTGTAGCTAAACTTCCACAGAAGCTTCTAATACTGATGAACTCAGAGCCATGCATGGCTTCTGAAGATACTTGGCCTAATCTGTGAGAATTGGCCATCTCTCAGTTTCAATACAGGCCATTCCTGGCACATCTCATGGCAACAATATTTAGTCATTCCTTTTCCACTCCTAAGCATATTTTTCAAAGAAATTATAAGGTATGGAATTTCTCTAAAGTTCTGGCATGTGTGTATGTGCTAGATATCCATTAACAGATATTTGTAAATGTGTGGTCCGTGTGTTTTTTTTAAATCTTCAACCAACACTTAGAATAAATCAACTGTTAATAAAAAGATTTTATCTGAGCCATCATTGGGAAAATTTCAAGGACTTTAAAATAAATAAAATCACTATGATTTGCATATAATTTTGATTTTATTAATGTGTGGGTTCCAATTTGTCATCATAAACCTGTGTTATCTTAAATTTAGAAATAGTTAGAACAAGTATTGCAGGGTTAATAAAATGCATGCTGTTGCTGAAATGCATGCATTAATGATGATGCAGAATGTTAAAAGTTGCATAATTTTGCTTAAAGTCTTAGTTGCATTAATCTCTGCACTTACCCCAAACTCCTCCACCTCTTCTTCCTGTAACCAAGAGCCATGTACAATGAAGCATGTATTTAAAAAAAGAAAGCAAAGGGGGGGAAATCACAGTTGAGAATCAGAAAGGAAAAGGATGTAGACAGGAAAAATAAATGAAAATTTTGATCAGGTAAAAACACTTTTCAAACCAATAAAACAATTTTTCACAATGGAATACAGAGACAAAACTTGTTCGAATACATGGTGAACACAGAACACACGCAAACAAAAAAAGATTTGGGCTTCAAGGACCATGTTTGCGGAACAGGACAACAGGCAGAGGAGCTTCCAATTAAATGTGGGTCTAGTTTTCTAGAAATAGTCCCTTTTTCATCTATTTTCATATGTAGAAGGTTCAAAGGTAATGAACACTATCTAACATGATTTTAGAACCAACAGTACTATTTAAAAATATATTGAGTTACAAATTTATCAATTTAAAAATGATTTAATTTAGACATGCTGAGATGTTCTAGTTTGTGCAAGATAAGACTCCTACTAATCTAAAATTTTATACACTGCAATATATCAACATAAAAAAAGATTTATTAGCTATACAAGCATTTCAGACCTCAATGCAAGTATTGAAAATTAACAGAACATATATGTTTGCTTTCCATTCACATTTACATAAGTGTTAACAATGAAGCTAAACAAAAGATAAACATGGAAATACAAACATGCAATTATTTACATCCCACATTTTTCTATTTCTAATTCCATACCTTTGTCTGAACATCACAGCAGGATCCATATTAGCAGAAGTCATTCTGACAACCTGCCGTATCTCTTTAGCAATCATTCTCAGTTTCTCAAAATTTACCAAACCATCCACCTTTGAATCATTTCCTGTACAATTAAAATATGTGGGGAAAATGTTTAAGATTTTTGAACATACTTCTGAGGCTGTCAACTTACTTCTTTTAGTATCACAGCACATTATTACATGTTAATAGTCTTGAATGCAAGCAAGATGTTGCAAGAAGCTTTAAGGCAAGGGACAACAGGTGCCAATCACCCAAAATGTGCACACCCATTTTTTTTTTTAACATCAGCAGTTGTCAACAAAAAGAACATGTAATAATAGATCTGAACTGCCTTTGCATTTTCAACAATAAAAGAAACTGATAGCAAGGGAGTTATCTTAATTTCCACCACTACTTGTTAATTTGGGAAAGGAATGTTTATTTTTCCAAGAGTTTTCAACTTTTTCAGTCTGAAAATTGATTCTTAAACACAGATCCAAATCAAAAAGAGACTTTTTTTCTTTACACATACCTCAGTTCCTCATAACATTTGGAAGTTGGCCGGAATACAAGTTTAATAAATAATAGTAAAACATCTGCCTATCCCACTGGGAAGGAGTCAATAGATGTACAAAACTGACAAATCCAGTCTAAATAATTGCCTGATTATGTGACTAAGTATAATATATTGGATAGGTAAGGTAGGCCTCTACTCATAGTGGAAAGGTGAAATTCATTTTTGGTGGGCTATAGGGCTTTAAAATAAAAATAACTGAATGCATTATATTTTTAATGTCCAGACTTGCCTTCATGTAGAAATGTAATATCTTTCTTGACCACTGGGAATAATGGAATAATTGGAGGCTGCATGCTCTGACTGCTGAGGATATTGCGATACTTTGCCATATTCCTAGAAGGATCAAAAAGATCCTGAAGATCTCTAAGGTGTTTTTCATATTTGCTTGGTAACTTTTCCCATGTACTTCTGAGTCTAGCCACAGGTGCCAGATTAAGACCACTGCAAGAAATTATTTAACAGTTAGTATTGTAAGTATTAAAGACAAAATCAAAAAAGTATACCTTTAGAAGAGCAACATTTTAACAAAAGCATAGATATTCTATTTTCTGTTGGAGAGCCAGCAACTCCTACCTGCAAATGTTAGGGAAGAGAGAATTTCTTACAAAACTATTTACAGAAATACCTCTAAGCTTTGAGAAAACTACTTCTTGCCCATCAGCATCTTACCTAGATATGATTTTGCAATCTTATATCTTGCAATATGATGGAGCACCACCATAATGAAACAAAACAATTCTCTTTCCCCTTTACATCTCTGTAGTGGAAGATAGGTTTCCATCTAAAACTGCAGATAGTATTACACTGGAGATGATAAATAATAGCTATAGTTAAATTGGATTAAGCAAAAACTCTGGATAGCTTTAACTGAGATAAAAACTCTTGCCAAAGTATTGTTATTATTTTATGCCTTTGAGTCAGTTTGGACTCTGGGCCTGGACAAGTCCTTGCAGTTTTCTTGGCAAAGTCTTTTTAGGAGTGGTTTGTGCTCGCCTTCTTCATAGAGCTGAAAGTGATTGGCCAAGGACACCTAGCTGGCTTTGTGCCTAAGACAAAGCTAGAACTTACAGTCTCCCAATTTCTAGCCTGATGCCTTAACCACTACACCAAACTGGCTCTCCTAACAATGTATTACTTTATGATTAAAAATAGTGACAGAACTGTGGCTCGTAATCTCTGGAATACTTAAATCCTATTAAAACATTGGCAATATTTATCTATAAATAATTTCTACCAAAATGAAAAACTAAGTAGATCTGATTATTAATATTTTCAAGTATAAAGATTATTTTGAGTCAAACTCAACTTTTCAGGATTACATGGACAAGTCCAATTTCTTGACAACAATGGGGAAGTTGTTCTTCCCACCCCGCACCCCACCCAGTTTCCAGGTCTAGCCCACAACCCCACTAGAGAAAGTCCTTGGGTTGCCATGGCAATTGGGACTGGAATTTCTATTGCTAAGTGGTGCAGTTGTAAAGTACAATGTCACATCCCAGCATTCCCAATTGCTGTCAATCCCTGGAGCACACAGCTCATTAAACAAGAAGGGAATCCTGTGCAAGGAGCATTGGGGAGAGAATAGGATGTGCCACAGATGGACACTAGGGATTGTGGGTTGCAGGAGCCGCAGACCAGCATCATAGAGCATGATCAGGCCAACAGGGACTGTGGGCAAGCATTAATTTTCAAGATCAGCCAACCTCCTAGGACTATTATTGTTTGAGAAGTAAAAATCAAACAAAAACTGTAGGTATCATGGTCATCTTAAGTTTGCAAATAACTTTTCAGTTTGTTGGATAAAGTCTATGCTCTTCAAATCCACTTCAGTTCCCTGCTACTCTATTATTTTTTAAAAGAAAATAACCAACCTAATAACAGCAAACATAGAGTTGAAATTCTTGCATTCCCTGCAATGGAGAGCGATTTTTATGAAATGTTTTACAATCTTCATCCTTTTCAGCTGATTTGTTTCAGACAGAATTTCCGTAGCAACCCAAAACGTTTCTTGATTAATAACATCCTCAAATTGTTTCAGGTTAGTGTTTCCTGTTTTAGAATCCAGCTTATATAATTCATCAATATACTCAGTAGGTTCAATGTTTCGAAACAATTCAAAGTCTCTCATCGAGAGCTGAGTAGCCACTTCAATAGTACTCAGCTGTAAAAGTGAGATTTGGCTTTCTCTTAGCAATTCTTGAGCATCTTCATCTGAGCACAGAGTCTCTGTTTCCATATTATTTTTCAAATAATACCTAAAAATACAGTGAGAAGCATATATGATTTAATACAGAGTTAGTAACTTTGCAGAATTCTAGTCCCATGTAATAAACTAAATTACATCTAAGAAACTGCATCTATCAAAGACAAAATATTCCCTTTTCACCCTGCTGCGCTCAGTATCCCTTCAAAATTACTGTGGTTAGATGCAGATTTGTAGAAGGAAGGAAAGGATAGGAGAAAAGCTCATTAATACAAATGAAGAGATTAGATAGTTTTGCCCATTACTCTTCATGACCAATCATAAGGCTTTTATATAAATTACTCATATAAAGTATGCTTGACTTTCCACAAAAACATAATTATGCCTGCACTATTTTTCCATGACTATTCTCTGGGAGTTACTTCTAAAACAGACTTTGCATTTTCCCAGAAACCATGTTTCTTTTTGGAGAGCATTAATATATAATCTTAGGGTTACAGCTAGGTTAAGTCAATATTTTTATCTCTGATGCAGTATTTCTCAGCTACTCAGCTACTATTTTGTTGTTGTTGTTGTTATGATTTTATACTTTTATATTATGAGCTATCTATATTTTAATTATAAAATATCTGTGGATGTAACGCTTCATTTTTACTTAGCATTTATTTAACACAACTTGGCAACTATGTACCAAATCAAAGGCAATAAAATCTGTTTGCAGTAAGAAATGCTGCTTCTTTTTAGTATTTTCTTCTCTAACTCAATTGCAAAATGAAATATTTACCTCCCGTTGAGCTGAATTCGGTCTGCTAACTTTGAGAACTGGTCGGGAAGCCTTCTCTGTTTGATGACTCCTTCCGTGCTCACAGAAACCTCACACAGAGAATAGGTCTCTGGGGTTCCTGTCAAGTTGAATTCATGTACTGCGTGGCTTACAACTTCTTTTGCTGTAGTGTCTTTGCTGATGATAATGTAACAACTCTGTTGATCAGCTTTGAAGACTCTTATAACCTGATCAGGAATGTCTGAGGTTGAAACAGAAGAGTTAACGTGTTAACTTATTTCCATGGATAATATATTTTTTTTATTTTATTTTTAACCAACAAAACAAAACAAAGCAAAACATAACACACATACACACACAGTATATACTCCTCCCCCCTTTTTAACAGCGATTATATAACAGTAATCTTCTATTATTTACATTTCCCCCCTTATTCTTCTTTAGAATATTTGTTCTTATTGCCCCATAGTTTCTTATTTACATTTTTCTTCCTTCATATTCTACTTCTTACTAAGAATAATTCATATTATTTTTATTATTATACATTATTATACACATATTTTCACTTTTGACCTTTCCATATTTATTCTCCTCTATTATTTCTAGTCTCCAACCAGTCATACCACTTGTTCCATGTTATATAGTACTCTATGTTAACATGTTAACTTATTTCCATGGATAATATATTATTTCTATGTTTAATTATACATATTTCTTTTTTAGCCTTTATAGAAAAATGACTTGCAATAAAATATTTTCCATAAACGTGTATTTATTTTGTTCTTGGATAGAGCAAGCGGATCTTGCACTATATGTCATTTCTCTGAGATCTAAACCCTTTATAAAAAGCCTTTTAAAAGCCTGTAACTATTTTGGATGTTTTAATCCTCCTAATGGCCATCAACCAGGTTACTGTTTATCTGATATTTTGCTTTATAGTGTTACCAAGGAAAGAATTGTAATTGTTAACTTGATGTGGATTATGAGAAGAAATAAGTGTCTCATAAATCAATAAAGCTTACTAAACTTCAAGTATAGTGTATTGATTGCTTTTTCCTTATGGATAATTCATTCTTTGTTAAACAGCATCATTACATGATATACCTTCTGGTTTGGAAAAGCCAATAGAGACAGGGCAAGGGAATATAATTCAAATGGACTGACATTTATTTTCTTCTAATGTTTCTACTCTGAACAAACATGAATATACAAACTCTCTGCAAAAGACTGAATTTCTAAAATAACCTTTACAGAATGATACACAATAGCCAAGCATCGTTCCATCTTGAAATCTGATTCAAATATGCACAGAAAACATAACGATGAAAACTTTCTCACTGTATTTCAGTTGCAGATTTGGAAGAGAGAATCATATTCATAATCTCTATTCCTATAAAACAGTGATTCTCAACCTTTCTAATGCCACGACCCCATAATACAGTTCCCCATGTGGTGGTGACCCCCAACCACTTATACATCACCGGGTGCCAGGGGCGTGGCCAAAGAAAAGGGGGGGAAAATGGCAGACAGCCTTGTTTGGCGACCCCCGTGAAATGGTCGTTTGACCCCAAATGGGGTCCCGACCCACAGGTTGAGAACCACTGCTATAAAACAATTTCTCTGCATACAGAAAAACATTTAGAAGGCTTGTCTAAATGTTTGTTTTCCTGACATGGTAGCTTTCAAAAAATACATGGAACAACACTGAAATCTACTGTCTCAATGAAGCCTTGAGATGAGGTGGGAGGCAAACAATTTTAATGATGGATTGATTGATAGATAAAAAATAAAATAAAACAAAACAAAATAAAATAAAAGCTACTATTAAAATATACATATTTTTAAAAATACCCAACCCATCATGTTGGGATACTTACAGTAAAAGCCAACTGCTGCAGAATGAAAAAAGGGGGAAAGTCAGAATCTAGATGTTATGCCACGAATAAAAATATTTACATAACACAAATCTAAAAGTTTTGTACAAGTCAAACATAAAGTGCTTCTGTCTGCCTTTGAGTCAATGCTGACTCCTGGTGACAGTCTGGACTAGTCACTGCTGTTTTCTTGCAAAGGTTTCAGAAGTAGTTTGCCATTGCCTCTCTCCCAGGGCTGACAGTGAGGGACTGGCCCAAGGTCACCCAGTTGGCTTCATGCTCAAAGCTGGACTAGAACTCCCAGTCTCTCGGTTTCTAACCTGTTGCCTTAACCATATACCAGATTGGTTCTTATGAACACAAATGGTGCTGAAAAGTTTATTTAAAGATAAAAATGTAATATGCAGAAATACAAGCAGGTCAAAGCCTTTTTTTTTATGGATCTCTCTCTCTCTCTCTCTCTCTCTCTCTCTCTCTCTCTCTCTCTCTCCTTATATCATGAAAACAAGATATAATGTGATAAAAAAAATCTGACATACACTTGGGAATGAATTTAGATAGTTCACAAGCTTGCAAATTACTGAATAGCCCCTAGAGCAGAAATTATCTAACTCATGTGACTGGTATCAAACAAATAATTGTAAATTAAATTGAATGGTTTGTCTGTTTCAGGAAAAACACCTCCCTCTCAATACTGTTAATCCATTTTTCTTAAAAAAAAATTCTCTCAGGACCCCTTCCTACTTTTGAACATTATGGAGGACCTCAAAAGAACTTCCCCTCCCCCGTGGATTATCTTGACTATTTACTGCATTCAAAATTAAAATTTCTCACAATTATTTGATAGGATTTTAGAATTTTATTTATTTTCAACATAGGCTGGCAAATAATTTTGATTTCACAGACCCTGGCAGACTCTTGGGGAATCCCCTGGGGTCCTAGGACCACACTTTAAGATTGCTGTATGGCATGAGAACCTGTAGCCCTCTGAAATTGGTGAAGCAGAAATGCATGACAAGGCACAGCAGTACATCAGCAGCATCTAAAAGGCCATAGGTTCTTCCTTTCCAGATTAGGCATTCTGTGATAATGCACTTTCTTTTAATAAAACATTTTACATAATTTAATTTGTTGTGGGGACTAGCAGACACCTAATTCTTAGTTTTTCATATTCTCCAGATTCTACAAATTATATTATAGAATGTACCAAAAGTCAGGTCCCACAGCCAATTTATTATGTAAATTACATTAAATGTTCGTTTTCTTCTAAACATTTTATTTTTTTAATGCATAACCTTTGAACATTCCTAAGTACAGTACATTTTTCTCGGAAAAAAAGTATTAATAAACACATTGTATTGTAACTGGCCTATGGGATCTGGCTTTTTTTAGTACAATCTGTAAATTAAAGACATTAGTAATTATATAAGTATGATTTACCTTTCCTCTAAATGTATACATTTAAACATAAATTCAGTATAAATATCCATGCATTTTATTCTTTTTCTTACTTAACTACAGAATACTGACGTTATCTAAACATGTTAGAAAAGATGATACTGAATAGCAATGGTTTATCCAGACATACAAGGATGGACCAAAAGATTATAGCAAGTATCTATGGAGATTCTCAATTATGCAGGTCATGGTTGTCCCAAAGGACATCATGCCGAAACCGCGCCCACCCCAGCTCCAGCAATGGGAAAGAAGTCATAATACGTCATGACATGTCACATGATGTGGCGAGTTTGACACCCCTGCACTGGATCATAGTTGACAGCCATCAATAGATATCGGAACAACATAATAGCATCAACTGTGGTAGTTATTCTTGACTGAATCACACTATCCTCAAATTAGTTTGTGAATTCTTGGATTCTGTACCCAACTGTTGATATTACCTGGGAAGCCCTTAATGGAGCAACTCCAGGACTTGTCAAAAAATACACCATGCCAGAACTGAACCCATTCAATTCTATGATCAAGACAGGAGGGCTAGTTGCAGCATCCCTCTGCTTCAACATTAGGCATTCTTAATAATGCCCCTCATGTTATCAAATATCCCTAAGTGGACTCAATCCTGATAATACTTAATAAACAAATTAAAGCAATTTTGCTCTACTGTGAATTTGTCCCTGAAAACTAGAGTAGCTAGTTTTAAGGATATCTTAAAGGATAAGGATATCTATGATGAAGTGTATTAATGGCTTTCAATATTACTTTATACTTTTACTTTCATTCTTCTATTTTGCAACTGACTTGACTGCACTGCCCAGAGTACAATAGTATTAGGTAGGTTATAATCTTGGCAAAAATACAATGTTAATGAACTCATAATAATGATTTACAAACAACAATTAACAACTAAGGTTTTTTTTTTCAATAGAAGATGAACTTTAGACACATATCACAATAAAAAGAGACTTATTTCACCTGAAGGATTTGAAAAATCCAGCATGCTAGTTGTGGGTTGTAAGAGATCAGGACTGCTGGATGAAAGTGTGCCAGGAATAGGCATAATTGCCAAACTGTGTCTGCACTGTCTTGTTCCCACAATGCTGTCATCTTGTGACTGGCTTACACTGCCATCACTATAAGAGATTATTAGAAAGCTGTCAATATAGAAGATCCAGAAAAATAAATTATTTTAATAAAGATATAAGTGATGGAGGAAGCCAAATAGTATTTAGAAGTACTAAAAGACTGGAAATTAGAGGGAAATATTTCTTGTATAGAAACACTCATGTTGACATAAATGAAGAAATAAACAATTTATGGAACTCTAGATTAAGTAGTAACATTTATTCTACTTGGCCTTCTTAGAATTGGTATAAAAGACAAGACTATGATACAGGTGGTCCTTGTTTAACAACTCATTCAGCAACCATTCAAATTTGCAATGGCACTAAACGAGGATAATTGTTAAGTCCTTGAAGTTCTAGCTAAGGCTGCACCCCATGACTTTGATCTGCGCACTCAGCAATTGGTCCAGATTTCCAACCGCTGCAGTGCCCCATGGACATGTGACCATAGTTTGTGATCTTCTCTGTAAGCTTCCCAAAAACAAAGTCAATGGAGAAGCTGGCAGGAAGCTGGATCATTTGAGGTCCTAATGACCCCCATGTTCCTTGCTTAACCAGGGACTGCCAGACTGTTAATGCTAAGTGGCACGGTCATGTGACCTTGTGCTTTACGACCACAGTGCTTAGCAATAGAAAATTCATCCCGAATATACCATCATTAACTGAAGATTTCCTGTAACCCAAAAGAGAGCAAATTCCTTTTCTACAGCATTGAATAGATAAACCTTCCCCTGAATGCTAATAAGAGCCTAACACAAAAATAAATTTTAATTCAGTTTCTAAATATAGACATTATGTTCTTGTATATGTATTGATACTATCCTACTTGTAATGGTGAAGGTGTGTTCTTTAGTATGAAAATTCTAATCTTTATTAGCACTATAGCTGAAGAATTTGATACGCAGGGATTTCCTTTAAAAATCCATAAAATTAAATAAAAGGGTTGACTGGATAAGAGATTGTACAAAGTTGGATCACCAGTAGTACTCATTTTAGCACCTTAAAACATTTTCAGTTCCCTTGAAAGAAAGTCTAATATTTTATCATACCTGAACAGTTTTGGAGGCAAGATACTGAATCGTGTCTTGTCTAAAATTTTCTTGATTCTGTTTCTTCCTCCAGACACAGTATTTGCTTTCATTTTCTTGTTTGCTTTCTCACGTGGAAACATTTGTTCCACATCTCCAGGAATATCTGGGATGGAGTAACGATTATTTTTCTTTTCTGCTATTTTGGGAATATGTGGAACTCCGTTCTTCTCCTGTCCTATCCTACTAAGTAGTTCTTTGAATACTGTAAAAATGTTGAAAATATATTCTTTTATTAGAACACAATGCTTGTTTAAAAATGTATTTAATATCAAAGGTATTTAAAATTCACAGAAAATCAAAGAGAACAGTAGTAAAAGTTATCAGATTCTCTCTACAGACGTTTTGCTGTACATTGCTATATAATTTGATGATGTGCAGCATGACCACCCATTTATTTTAAAACACCTAAGTATCCACCTGTCCGCGAAGTTATAGCTAATGATGTTACATTAAACTAGATTAGATGGATCGAAAAAATAAGATGTTATTTTAATAGTGGTAATTTCCTAGCATACACAACGAGAAAATTTATAATTTAGTAGAGGGAGGCTGCAGGAGTGAAATAGGTGTCTTAAATCTCATATCTTAAACTCCTTCTCACAGTGCTTTAGCTCTGCCCATCCTAAGAGTGCTCTAGACCAGAGGTCCCCAACCCCCAGTCTGCAGCCCTCTGCCAGGCCACAGCCGGTTTGGAACTGGGCCAAAGTGATGGGCAAGCACACACAAAGCTGCCTTTGTGAAATTGATGTGCACAAAACCATCCCTTCTTCCAGCGTCCCACTGCTACCTCTGCCAGTCCACAAAGCCAGAAAGGTTGGAGAACACTGCCGTAGACAATGATGAAGGAATACTAAAGGGTATACATTGCACATCTCTGATGGAGCACATAAAAGGAAAAGTTATCTCTGAACTCAACTGAAAATATCTGGAACTAATTCTGAATGTTAATCATGCTCAAATTACTGTATGCCAGTCCAGCTTTTAAAAAAACTCTGTCCTTGTCACAGCAAGCTTGTGAATTATAGGCAGTTTACACCTTGCAGTCTTAAATGCTATATTTACCTGTTATATTGGATTAGAAAGCTCCACACATTTTTTTATCATTTAAAAATCCAGTCCCTTCTTCCAAGGAAGAATTTTTTTAAAAAAAAATATATCTGTACTTAGGAGCTTAGTCAACATCTTTGCAAGATACTCACCAAAAATATTTGTTTTTACAGTGATGGAAAGATGAGTATTGTTTCTCAAGATTTCAGTTGCTTTTGAAAATGTAATGTTCTCAAAGTTTTGCCCATTTACTTCCATTACCTATAAAATAACACAAACAAGTTAAGCCTGTAAGAAGCCATGTTTCTCAAATACTTTAGTACTTGATAACTTTATTATTGGCTCAGACAGAACTTGAAAATTGATTACAAAATCACATTTTATTCATCATAAACATCATCAGATTCAGTTCTTTCTTTCTTTCTTTTTCTCAGTACATAAGAAAGAAATCTAGTGCTTTTATCCAGCCATAGTTTGGCTTCACTAAGAAATGAAAGCCACAGTTTAACAAAGTTTTCTAGTTATGATTGGAAGGAAAATAATGTCTGTGGGGCTTTTTTTTTTTTTTTTTTTTTGGCAGGGTTATCTGAAACCAGTAGAAAATTTCTTGGTCAGTATATTCAGGTAAATGTGTATGCCTATCTGGGTGTCACTTAACAAAATAGACTAAAATATATATATAACTGTTAAAAGTTCATGTCACCTGATCACCACGTTTAAGCCCAGCTTCTGCTGCTTTGCTTCCCGATTCCACTGACTCTACGAAAATACCAAAACCTTTTTCGCTCCCTCCAAGAAGACTGAAGAAAAGTGGTGAATCTCTAGAAGGCTTTTGCAAGGTGACTTGTCTCCACTTTGCTTTTGCAGCACATGCAATGTTTAGTAACCTGAGATGTCCTTTCATTTTCTGTAAATGATCAGACAAGCAAACATGAATGTTCTGCATCTAAACAACATGAAATCCTAATTATGAAGGGGGAGCGTATATAACCATTTATACTCACCTGTAACTGAATTTCTCTGATTGGAGGTTTATGAATTAACAAATGGAAGTTTTAAATTTTGCAATTTCAAAATTTTGAAGTTTTTTGACAAGAGTCCTATGCACCATGGATATCAATCATGATTAGGCACAACTCTTACTATTCCGGTCAATTTCTAAGGCTGGAAATGGAAACCTTAAAAGGAATTTTGACCCCAAGTAGGCAGTGGTAGGGAGTGTGAACTTAAACTACCTCAGTTAGGAACCAGTTCTCACTGGTGTTTGTGATTCACATTTATGATTAAATATCTATCTTATTACACAAAATAAGAACAGCTGCTCCAAATTCTGCATCTTAGAGATTGGAGGCCCATAAATAGTGCTGGATACAAATAGAAGAATGAGCCCAGGTGCCTCACAGTTCTTGTGAACTGATCTCAAGATATTAAGTAGGAATTGCTGCTTGGTTGGCTCATAATAGTTTTAAAAAATGATGGGTAAAGACTCCTATCCCCTTGGAATATCAAGAACAAAGGCCAGTCTCTTTGGAATTAAGCAGCTCTATATACATTGAAAGACTGGAGAGATCTTTCTACACCCAAAGTTAACAAATGAGCAAATGACCAGTTGAAGAAACACTTGAGAAGAGTGGAGCTCTGTCCAGCCATCCTATGATACTCATGGACCACAAGATTCCCACCAAAAACCTGTCAGGTCTAAAAAAAAAATTGGAGTGAAGCTTTTTACAGGCATAAAATACCACAGTAAAGAACACTCAAATTATTCAGTGTAATATTCAGATTACATAGGACTATCCTACTGATGACCTTGGTTCTGGGTTATTTGCCAAAACTGTGACGTGTAAAAAACAGGCCCAACAGTTTGGGCTTAAAATATATACTCTCCTGAATGACACTCAAAACTCAAATATGAATGACTCGTAGAACACCCTTCTGAAAATGTTTTGAACAGATTGGATTTTTTTATTGTTAAAGTGGTCTTAGAAGATATAGCTATAAAATATATAATATAAAATAATTTATATTGGGTCCTACCGCATTTTCCAAATTTTTTTCAAATTCTTCCAAAAATCTTGTCATGGCTGGATCTCCTTCAAAATCATTAAAATGGTTATTCACCCATAGCAGTACAACTCGAGTAACCTAAGAACAAATACAAGTTGGTATTTCAATACAATTCTACTGCTATTTCTAGATAAAACAATGCTTAAACTTGTCATTTCATTTTATGAGTTTATCAAAGTTTCTAATTACGAATTTAAAAAAGGAGAAAAATCATTAGTACTATACAATACAGTAACCTCCAGAGACCCAAGGATCCATGTAGTCTCATAAAGATTTGAGAGGAGCCCTGAGAGATTTTAAAAAATTATAATTTATGACACTCATAGAAAATATTAAATGTATGAACTGAATAAAATAATTTTAAATAAATATTATTTCAAATTGAAAATAGGTTTATGGATTTTTTTCTTGCAACTTTCAGACATTTTAAAGATCCAAAACATCCAAATGCTGTTTTGCTGATAATGAGTTCAAAGGCTAAGAAAACAGGAATACATTCCTAAATTTAGCTATATATTACAGCCCAATTACATCTATACTGGCCAGTTCCCAGTTACTTTATCAATCAATAGCAAGAAATACCCAGCCATATAAAATGTTACTCCAGGTTTTGAATTGCAGTAACTTTGTATACATTATCAACATTATTTATGTCTTCACAATTTCTCAAGTACACCAACTAGTAATTTTTTAAAATACTTTTTATACATATACAGTGTTCATCTGAAGTAAATGAGGGAGCATAAACTCCTTTTTTCTGTCCAGGAATGGCATAGCCTATTATAAAGATCAGAAGGAAATCCTACCAATCTTTCTTATTCATTGTGTGTTCTTTTAACAATATAAAATATATCTACTTTTATTTTACATATTTTTTAAAACAACTCCAACCCTCTTTTGGCGAAAGCTAATTAGATGGAAGTATGTTTATTTAAATTAAGAACAGCCAGAATAAGCTTAATTTGGGATACCACTTTTTGATAGCATAGCATGAATAATTGCACAGAATTTGTTCTTTTTATAATCTCTCAATATACTTCAGAGAAGATCAAACACATCCAATAAGGTGCAGCAAAAAATTCAACTAGTTTTCATCAGTAAAAGTAAGCCAACATATGACAATTAGAAAAACCAAACCAATATTGTCTAATTTAGGAACCAACCTTGTCCCTGAGACTGTCAACCTGAAACCACTCTAAAAGTTTGTCTCCAACTTCCAGAGGGCTTGACAAAAATGTTCTGAATGTTAATAAAAAGTCTTCAATGTAGGTTGGATCCACAATAGAGTGCTCTTCTATTAAATGCATAATGAGACGTTCAGGTGTAGCCTTCAAAACAAAGAGACTGCAGTGAATCTCTTGACAAATTAGTTCTGTAGTATTATCAACCATGATAAAATCAGAGATAGTGACACATAAATTCCAATTCCTAAATGTTATTCGTAAAATTTTATGCTAAAACAATATTTGCCCACCTATCCTCCAAATGCTTGTTAAAATCCTTCATTATAAATATTTGCTGTCCCCTTGTTATTATTTCATGATAAACTCTGCTATTATTTTCTCACCCATGCACTTAAATGCAGTAATTACCACTCCAATTTCTGATTCCTCACTAATGCATTTCTAACCTAGCTTCAATTTTTTTTTAATAGCTGGATATGAGAAGCAAGATGTGGCAGTTCCTTAACCCAACACTCACTGTAAGAAGATAAATATGATAATCTAAACTGAGAGTTCAGAGAGATCAGAGCAGAAAACCTATATTATCTTCCATTTTGGGAAAAGAAATATACTTGTTATTTGTCAAGTGCCCAGGTAACAACAGGGATGTCTTATTTAACATTAACAAGATACTAGAATCTTAACCAAAGATCAGGTCAATGTATTAAGTTGTTGTCTCTATAACAATTTATTTTATTCATAAATCTTAGTAATAAATACTGTAAACATTTAATTGTACAATATTTTCTAGATATTTATTTAGCATTACAATTCATAGTATTTCTACGCATTCAAATAATCAATTCCTTTTATGTATCTATGAATCAAAGAATTCCTTTGTCAGGCTGCTGTAGGCGACTCCAAAATTGCTTGTCCTTGGAGACTTCAATTTATTACCCTGTCATGTTGAGTTATAGTCATCTCAGGAACATATGGCCTCTATGGATTGTCCCAAACAATAGAAAGCTGAATGCATTATAGGGGTCATACACTATATTTGCTTTCAGTCTCAGGGCAATTGCCGTGTGATCTGGTTTTAGTCTACTGATCACTTTTCAACTGCTTTTGATAACATCAACTATGATATGCTTTTGGACTGGCTGTGGAACTTGAGATTGAGGAACACCATTTTGTAGGGGTTTTCCTCTTTGGCAGCCAGGCTCAATCACTGTTGATAGAGGGGAAGTGATTGAGCCCACAGACTCTCACTTATGGAGTACAACACATCTCAATGCTCTTGCCTCTTTTTTACATGAAACTGCTGGGTGATCCAATGTTAGATATTAGCTATATAAATGTTTTAAATAAAGAAATAAATCATCCATTGGTTTATATCCATTGGCTTACTTTAGGTCTTGATTCTGGGCCAAGCAGGTGATGCTACTAAGGTCCTGTCCCAGAGTCTGGAGACTGTGTGAATCTGGAGGCAAATGTATTAAGACTCGATCCTGACAAGACCATGTGGCTGTGGGTATTTGAGTCCCCTTATGTATGAAAATGTTCCATCTTTGTTCTTGGATGGTGTTGCATTTCCCCATTCTAGACAGCTGTGTGATCTGGGGATCATCCTGGACTCACATCTTCTGCTCAAATGACAGCAGTGGTCAAAAGATTTTTGCACATGTACATCTAGTGCACCATTTGCACTCTTTCCTGGAATGGAGACCCTTCAAATAGTCACCATAGTCACCTCATGAATGGGCTGTTGTAATGCAGTCTCTATGGGGTTGCTCTTGAAAACTTCTAGAAAGTTCAAGCTGGTCCAGAATAAAGGTAGTAATGGTGGGCATACATCAGTATTCCTGTGTGACCCCACTGCTCCATGAAGCTGCACTGGTTAAGTGTAAGCTTTTGCACACAATTCAAGATAATGGTTATCCCCGATAAACCCCTTCATGGCATAGGGCCAGGTGATTTATCTGATAAACTACCTAACTATCCTGCAAACCAGTGAGATTGGGGCACAGTGGATCAGGGGTTCCATTGATCAAGTAGTGTCATCTAGGGGAACCCAAAAAGTGTACCTTCTCTGTTGTGTACCAGCCTCAAGAATAATATCTTCCAAGAAATTTAGATAGCTACCACTCTAATAATGTTCAGGAAGCTATTAAAGATTGACTATTCACAAGGTGGATCGATGGAACTCCTGTTGTGTGATTTTTGTTGTTGTTATTTAAATGTGTGTCTTCAGGCCACTTATATATCTTTTTCTTTCCCGGTATTATAAACCCAGAGTTATTAAAAGTTTGGCAGCCTTTAAGTAGTTTACATAAATAAGTAAATAAAATCCAGTAATATAGTTGAGTTATTTAATAATCCTTTATGAAAAGAAACAAGATTTATCCTGAAAACCAATCTTATGATATTCATAAAATCTGGAATTTAATGAATCTTTAGTAAGATATCATTTTTTGATTACCTTAATGACAATGTGTCCTTTTCTGGTTCCACTGCGGTCTAATTCTCTGTGCTCCTTCACCATAACAATTTCTCCTTCTTCTTCCACTTTATGCGTATTTTTTTCAACATGGTTCAAAATACGCCAATAGTCCTGCTGGGCTATACATACAAACTATTCCAAAATAAGAAGGACATTTGAAAATAAAGAGCAATATCATGTAAAAAAATCTATTGCCAAAAGTTATTTTAATACAATGAATAAAAATCAGGTTATTTCCAGCTTACTCCTTCAAGATAACTATGTGTTAAGTTCAATCACAAATAATACATTCAATAGAATAGATCTGATTGAGAACTGGGTTTTTAACTGGAAGATAGCTGTCAATTAACCAAAGTTTAAATAATAAGTATTGTTATTTGAAGAAGTAGTGTTACAAGTTAAAACATTATAAATGAAAGTTATAATCTGTTTCTGGAATCTATTTATACTATAAAACTCTCCTGTCTTTCTGTTTGTAACCTTCAATTAGCCAAAATGAGCATATACTGGAACAATTTTTGAATCAATGTACCTCAAGTGAGCTAACTTAAAAAATATTTGCATAATCTGGATGCATGACTCCCCTGGAACTGAAATTTCAACAATGTTTACAAAAGTTGTATTAGCAAACTTGTGGCCACTGCAGCACCGCTGCAGTCAGTTTTGATCACATCACTGTGATCTCTACCACTTACCCACAAGCAAAGTCAATGGATAAGCTGGCAGGAAGTCAGAAGTCACTGCCGCTCCCAATGCCTTGTACCCCAACAATTTTTCAATCAATTTACTTCAAATCTACTAAGTTAAAGAATATGTAATAAATCTAGGAATCATTACTACTGTGGAATTGAAATTTCCATGTTGTTCAGGCCAGTCTTATTCTTGTGTCAAAGTTCTAACCATTGCAGCACCTTTGTGGAGGAAGCTGACAGGGAGACAGAAGTCAATCCCGCTCCCACTGATTTTTTTGCTTGTCCATGGTCATTCTGCTGGTCTGTTTAGATAAGGCAGTATCTCTAAAAGAATGGGCCAGTGGGTCAAGTGCTACATCCAGCATCAGGTAAATGGACTTCTAATCACAGAAAATTGGGAATGAATAGGAAAGCCACATACATTTGGCTGATATTAGGCCTGCCACAGTTGGATAAACTCTTGATTATTTTAAAGGATATTATGATTTTTATAACAAGCTTCACAAAGGTAAAATATTTTACTCTAATATCATTTATCTTACCTGGCAATCATCTACTTTGGTCCTAACCACACCGTTCATGTGTTGTTTTTCCAGAGATGGGGTAATCCCAAAACTATTTCCCATACAAAGACTTTCTGTTTTCCCATCAGGATAGCTAATTTCCACGGTGCCGTTTAAAATAACATACCAAGAGTCAAGCTAAAGTAAAAAAAAAAAACATAAAGCAATCTCAGTTATCTTGCTATGAATCAAAAGTCTCACTCAACATGAAAACATGAGGTTTGATATAAGTCCAGTTTACATTGCAACAATGACATGACAAAAAACAATAAATAGATTAAATTAAGAGTTATGTTAATGATCATTGCCTTTCTACCACACAAAAATAATCAAAAATCAATAAGCAATTAAGAATTTCTGTCAATTATCACACTCTACAAAATCTTATCTTATGGTGAACAGCCTATTCTTGTACGATACCTAGCCCCACTGATAACTACAAATGGATAATGGCGCAGCAGTTAGAGTGCAGTACTGCAGGCCACTTTAGCTGACTGTGTTCAGCAGGTCAGCGGTTCAAATCTCACCGGCTCAAGGTTGACCCAGCCTTCCATCCTTCTGGGGTAGGTAAAATGAGGACCCAGATTGTTGGGGGCAATGTAAATATATATATACATTGCTTACTGGTGTACACTGCTTACAGAGTGCTTGCACTTAAAGCGGTATATAAGTCTCATAAACAAATAAATATTATTGTGACCAGATAGAAAATATATAGAAGAAGGATTTGAGAAACTAAGCATAAGGGTTGTAAATATAAATATAAAAGAGTTTCTGCTGCACAAAGAAGAATATGAAAGAAGTAGGAAATATGATATAATAAGGTTATCATCCTAAAATGAATGCTTTCCAGAATAAGTATATATAAAATATAAAATTAAAAAGTATAACATTATCCAAATATATGTTAACAGAGCCAACCTGTTCAGTGATGCAGAAGTATTTGCGTATATAAGAGTTTGTGGAATCTAAATATTCATCACAAAGCAATGGCAAGCGTATATAGTTTAGCTATCCTCATGGATATTTGAATGTGCTTGTCAGTCAAAAAGAAATATCTCCCCTAATCTGACCCATTAGGGGATGCTAACATTGAGAACTTCTCATTATATATATAATAATGCCAAAGACTTGTACCTTTCAGTAAACATTATTCAAATGGTCATCCTATTTGCTCAATAGAGAAATACAAAAATGTATGTATCTCATGTATAATACAGTAACATTTCCATGACAACATGCCCTACTTACTTCTTGTCCATCTTCAAGGATGATGGCTCCTGCTTGCTCTACCACTTCAAATATCATGACTGAACAAAGTTCTCTTCTTACTGACATAGTCATGTTTGCAAATGCTGGAAGCTGATGCATAAATTCCAATAATTGTTCTAGCGGAACAAAAGTTTTATGTTAAATGCAAATGATAAATTTTGTAAGGTAAAACTATCAGATACATTGTCAAATGTTACTTAATTTTCATAACAAAACTGAATTTCTATCTCTATCATCCATCAATTCAAGCTAATTAACATAGGTATCTTCATTGACCTAAATTCAACGCTAACTTTATACATTGAAAATGTACTTTAATCATATGGAAGGGTTATTATCTACATGTTACAATGAAGGAGAGAGGGAGAGAGAGATTAAATGCATAAGAACAGGATTTACCATTAAGCACTATGCAAAAAGTTGTAGCAACCATTTTCCTACATTAGCATTTATTTATATGCATGCATGCATGCATGCATGTATCGATTTAAAAAGACTTACACTGCCGCCCATCGAATATACAATAAAACTGAACAGCTAACAAGAACACAATAAAATATAAAACAACTCCAAGCAGTCCAAAGCAAACTCCTCTACCACTGAGTATTCACATTTACTAGGCTCTAACCCAGTGGTTCTCAATCTGTGGGTCAGGACCCCATTTGGGGTCGAACGACCATTTCACGGGGGTCGCAAACCAACGCAGTCTGCCATTTTTCCCCCTTTTCCTTAGCTGTGCTACTCCCTTTTATTCTATTGGCTTTCAAAAGCAAATAGGAATTGTCCAGGCTGTCTCTGCCCTGCTGAGTCCGCCAAAAGTCCCATTCTGCAAACAGTGCTGCACCAGTTGAGTAGTCCTTGACTTACCATCGGTTGAGTAGTCCTCAACTTACAACCGGTTGGGGGTCGCGGCATTAAAACGGTTGAGAACCACTGCTCTAACCACACAGTAATCCAGTCATTCCTTGGGGGGAACTACAGAGAATGTTCATTTCCTTAGTCCCATCAGATAACAACATTTAAGGGAAGTGACCAGGAACACAACCATTCTATTCTACCTGATGGAACAGACATCCTTAGAAAGAGGTATTCCACAAATAACCTGGTCCTATGCCATTCAGGACTTTAAAGATGATAACCAGCATCTTAAATTTCATCCAGAAAGAAACTGGATTCTAGTGCAGCTCACAAAGCAATGGCATATAATACAGCCTAGATCTGCAGGCACCACTGCATTCTAACTCCAATTGTAACTTCCCGATCGTATTTAAGGGCAGGCTTGTGTGTTGAGTGTTGCAGTAATCTAATCAGGAAGTGATCAAGGTGTGGACAACAGTGAGCAAAGCTTCCAGGTCCAATTGGTGCTCAAGAAGAATTTGTGCAAAGGCCATCCGGTCAAAGCAGGCACGCTTTAGGGGTGCTTTCCATTGCTTCATCTCCCACAGCATTTCCATTAAAACAGAATGCTAGACAGGATCCACACTCACAGAGATTCTGCATAGCGTGATCTAATCAAGACTCTTGTCATATGCCTTTCTCAAGCAGTCCCAAAGATGCTTTTTCACAAGGCAACTGGACTTTCTTGGTTTTTTTTTTAAAAGACGTTTTGCTTCTCATCCAAGAAACTTCTTTAGGTCTGACTGGATGGTGGGGAATGGAAGGGATTTATACAACTTGCATACAGCTGGATATTTGCATTCTTTTAGAGAGTTGTTGAGGCACCTAGAGATTTATCTGTGTCATCAGGATCACCTGAGTAGTGCAAATGGATATGGAGCCTTCTTGGAACTGCTGAAAAGGCTGTGTTGTAGACTAGAGATAGATGATGTCGTATCCCTCCCCCTCTGTTAAAAAAAGGCAGTTCAATTTTGATATAGATGGCCTCTTTGACTCCTCTTTCAAGCAGAGGGGGGGCATAGGGCATCATCTATCTCCAGTCTACAACACAATCCTTTCAACAGTTCCAAGAAGACTTCACACCCATTTGCACTACTTAGGTGACCCTGATGACACAGATAAGCCTCCAGGTGGCCTCAATGACTCTCTAAAATACAAATGACCAGCTGTCTGCAAGGAGCATAAATTCTTCCATTCCCCACCATCTAGTCAGAGCTGAACAAGCTTCTTGGATGAGAAGTGAAATGTCTTCAAAGAAAAACAAGAAAGTCCAGCTGCCTCCTGAAAAAGCATCTTTGGGACAACTATGATGTGGATGCCTGAGAATCTCAAGCAGCAATCTGGATCTCAGCTGTGTCACAACCTTGGTAAAATTTCCAAGTTCCTTCTGAAACCCAATTGCGCTGGGATGATTGAATATGACCCACCTCCCTGCAATGGGAGTTAATTGTCAGAACTCCAGATACAAGAGGTGTCCATGACAAGGAACTGATGTTAACAACCCCAAATCTCAGATTACCATTCTGCTGCTCCAAGACAAAAACCAAATCTATTATTTGAACTCTATTGCAAATTGGACCTTGAGAAAGTTGGAACAGTTCCATGACTGCAATGGTGACATGATGCTCTTGCTATGAGGCCAAGGCCACTATAATTGCTATCTCTTACTCGAAGTCCAAAGAAGGCAGGCTGAAATCCTCCATAACCATAAGCCTGGAGAAATCTATCATCAACTTGGCCAAAAGGTCAAGTGCATTGTTCTCCCTGCTCTCTTTCTCTCACATAATTTACTTCCTTCCCAATGCCCTTCCATTCCCAAGTTGAGGGGATCCATCCATCCAACCAACCAACAACAAATGGGATAGCTCTAAACAGACTGCCAGAGCTCTGTAAAACACATTTTGGACAGCACCTTCCTACAACATCATCTAACCTTTACATCTCACTCTGTTCTCTTCCCTAACTCTCCATCCACCTGCTGTGACTCAGGCCACAGTAAACTTTCAGATCTCAGCTAACGTTAACAAATTCATTAACAATAACAAATCATATCTTAAGTCACCAGGTACACTCACTGGTTTGTCCAACTTTTTTCCCCTCCCTACACAGTTGTACTTTTACAGTCGTTTTAGTTGACTGCTGCCTATTGCTACAAGCATGATATCCTTTTAGCTGTATAATGATTACTGTTTGGGTAATTCATTACTCCATCTTTATGTAATAGCTTGTACTACAAAATAACAGATTTATTTACAAAAGGCAATATTTTTATTTCTCACCAATATCATCATCTGTTTTGTCAGCAGGTTCTTTTTCAAGACACTCCCGAACAACATCTCGCCCTAGCAGAGGGTCAGATGTTCTATCAATGTCTTCATCTTCTTCTTCATCATCTTCAGAATCTACTGGTGCTTCTGGGAGACCGGTTAAATCCACATCTCCCATCTCACTTTCTGTAGCCTGAACACACAAGCAATAAATGATATTTAAATTTCTGATAGTTAAACATTTATTACATGTGATACTGGCTAATTTTCTGTCTTTTATTTTCCAAGGCAATAAATCCTACGATCCAGCTGTAAAATGAATCTGTATCTTACATATGGATGTCTGAGTAATTTGCTGGAGTCTAGATTATTTGTTTTTCAAAGTTACTTCAACACTGTTTAACTCTGCAATCAAACAGTTAAAACCTACTCAAGAACAGGAAAAAGTGATTTAAAAAAATATTGGTTCATCCCAAAAGGATTTTATTAATAGCACGGGTGATATCAAAAGCAGAAAATCTTAATATAATTGATTTTAACTAGATCATATAACTTGCCAGAAGAAAAAAATATTCATATGGCGATAAGAGAAACTATATATTCAAATAGAATACAGGTGAACACTGCTTAACAACTACTCATTCCGTAACCATTTACTATTAGAATGGCACTGAAAGAGTGGTGACACCTTGTTTCTCCAAAAATAAGACCCAGTTTTTATTTTATTTTTTTGCCTCAAAAAGAGGCACCAGGTCTTATTTTCGCCCCCGGCCTCCATTTCGCCATCAGAGGCCTTCAGGAAATGCCTCTGCAGCTGAAAATGGAGGTCTGGATTGACACACCCCTGCCCCCACCCAGGCCTGTATTTCATTGTCAAGGGCTTTTCCAAGCAACTGCAGAATATTTTTAAGAAAAAATATTAATATGATCAATAAAAACTGGCATTATCAATACACTGATGACACCCCACACCAGTGATGGTGAACCTATGGCATGCATGCCAGAGGCGGCACTCAGAGCCCTCTCTGTGGGCACACGCGCCATGCCCCAGAGATGGCAACTGTCCCTCTTCAACCAGCCGCCTACTAACTAGCTGAGGTGCTACATGGCCGGATGCATCCCGGCACGGCTGGTTTCCCTCCCCCCATCCCTTTCCTCCTGGCCTTGTATGCTCTCCTTTTCCCAGGCACAACTCACTGCATCACCTCCTCAGCTTTCGGCCATCCATCCATCTCAGAGGCAGCTTCTTTGAATTGCTGGCGGCGGGCTGCGGAGCTCCAGAGTGCGCTGGTCAAGGGGCCGGAGGCTATGGCTGCTGACGGACATCATCGGCTCCCATGCGCTCGCTGGCCTCTGTGTGTGGGAGCTGATGGTGTCAGGCAACAGCCACACCTTGCCTTGCCCTATGGCAATGGCACCCCCGCCCTGCTGTGCCTCACCCTGCAGGACGAGCCTCCTGACTACCGCTCCACCTACCAGAGACCCCCTGGATCTCCCCCAACCCTGCCCACCCCCCACAGGCATCCCTCCCATGAGCAACATTGAGGTGACCATGTCCATCTTGGCCACACCCACCCAATCTGTCATGACCACCACAGCCACGCCCACCCAGTGGGCCATGCCCACCTGGCACCCGGCAATAAATAAGTGGGTTTTGGGTTACAGTTTGGGCACTCGGTCTCTAAAAGGTTCGCCATCCCTGCCCCACACCATGATGATGATCCCCCCCAGCAGCTCCATCTAGATGTTTTGAACAGGAGCCAAGAGAGCACCGGACCCTGCAGGACACACAGAGTAGATGTCAAGGACAGGGCCTCTCACTCTGATGAATTGGAATTGGCTCCGAGGAAGAGGAGAGCCACACAATACAGTATTATCCACCTCCAATCACTTCAGCTGATCCAGAAGGTCACTATGATCAACAGTCTGATGCCTCCCAGGATGGACTGGAGAGATTACATCTTGTAAGTGATGTAATGGTTGAGATGCTTGAGGTCCAGCATCGCTTTCCACCCTCCTGAGGCCTTGGGAACCACAAAGAGGATGGAGTAGAACCCCCTTCCCCTGTGGTCTGTCGGTACCGGTTCTATGGCCTGAATCTCTAAAAGATGTTGGATGGCCTCCTTCATAAGTCCCTGTTTGAGTGGATTCCTGGAAACGGAACAGACAATGAATCGGTCCGGGGGATTGGCTAGAAACTCCAGGGACAGACCGAACTGGATGGTTTGCAGGACTCAGTTGTCCGTGGAGGTGAGTTCCCACTGATGGAAGAAGTGGGCTAGCCTTCCCCTGATGGGAAGGGCAGTGTAGGAGTCACTTGGACCTTCTATATGGATGTCCTGCCCCTCGAAATGGCCGCTTAGTCTGTCCCTGTTGTCTGGGCCGAAACCCTGTCCTGTCATAAGGACGGTCGTACGGCCTTCCCTGTCTGGGAGTGTATGAGCGGGAGGGCTGAGTGACTGTTGTGCCTGCTGTCTGCCGAAAGGACTGTCTACGAAAGTAGGGAGTGAGACGTTTGTCAGACTTCCTGTTTAAGTGAGCCATGACCTTGTGCTTGTCCTTGTTCTCCACAAGGTACAGGGCCAGGGCCTCCCCAAATAAGTTGTTGTCCAGATAAGGAGCAGTCGCTAGACGCCATTTGAGTTTGGTGTCAGCCTGCCAATGTTTTAGCCACAGCATCCTTCTGGCAGTAATATTGAAAGCTATAGACCTAGAGGCAAAGATGGCAGACTGAAGCGTTGCATCTGCAGTGTACTCAGTAGCCGCCACCATCTTACTTAGGTCCTGGTGGGTTCACAAATCCTCAGCAGATACTCTAGCCCAAAGCTGGCGTAACCATAGAAGGGTGGTTCTGACAAAAAAGGACGCACAGCTGGCCGTTTTAATTGCCCAAGCCGCTGATTGATGGGTCTTCCAAAATGTTCCCATTTCTTGTCGTCCGCTTTAAGTCCCCAGCGATCGCCGTCTGGGATACCAGAGGGGTCCATGCTTCATCTACCTTGGGGATCTCCAGTGCATCGGTAAGATCTGTGGAGTTGCTAAAGATCTTTTTGTCAGTCCCGCTTACGGGAGGGAATGAGGAAGGGGAAGCCCATGGTTTCTTGATCCCTTTTAGGAAGATGGAGGGGCACGGAACAAGATGTTCGGTTGCCACTATTTCAAAAAATATCGGATTGGGACTGGTATCCGATGGAGCCTGCGGTTGAGGGAATTGATCTGAGCCTATATTTGCCATTGCTGTGGCCTTACATAGGATTGAGAGAAAAAGGGCTGAATTGAAAAGGCCTCCCGAAGGGGAGGGCTCAGGAGGAAGTTCCTCCTCCTCTGACAGAATGAGATCCGGTTGCTCCTCACCTTGGGGGGAAGAGTAACTGCTCATGGAAGAATGCGTGGGAGACATAGGCTCCTGGAGTATGGGGAACTCCGTAGGGGCCCCATAAGGAGGCATGCCTGATGTGGAAGCCTCTTGGTTGGGTGACTGAAAGGAACGCTGTGCTAAAGCTCTATCCACTACCTTGGATAGTAAGGCCTCAAGGCGTCCGCCGGAGAAAATATCTCCAAAGTCCGGTCCCCTGAGTCCCGCTGCCGTGGGAGTAAATGTGGCCTCTGGAACTGTGCCTGGAGCTATTGTAGTGTGTTGAGTCACTGTGGGGGGTGAACCTAGAGTGATTGGCGTCCCTGGGATGGACCATACGCCTTGAGCTGAAGTTGAGGGACGTAAGAGGAGATCAGCTTCGGGGGCCGCCAATTGCATTGCATCTAGCCCAGCCTGCCTCTGTGCTCTGGAGAATTCCTTCTCCAGAGCCTGGTGCCTATGGCTGGCTTGCTTCTCCGCCAGCTTGGAAGACTTCTTGAGTGTGTGCTTAGTCTTGGACTTGGACTTGCCTGTCGCCTTCTGTTCAGAGGAGTTATGGCAGCCGTAGCTGGAGGACGGAGAGGCAGTGCTCATGGATTGAGGCAATGAGGAGCCCTCCATCCCAGTGGAGCAGTCTCAGACAAGCTGAGGTGACGCTCTGGCGGGAGCGAGATTGGAACAAGTAACAAGACTGTTCCCCTGACCACCCGACCAGAAAAAAATTTCTCTCTAGGCTATGGTCACGGCACTTGAATTAGATACCGAAGACACATTTGGAACCACTCTTTGGGATCTGCCCGGAGGCCTTAGGTGGCCAGTCAAGGTGCACCAGAAAAGGCCAAAAAAAAAAAAAAAGCCTCCCAATGAAGGGTGCAGAGGCTTGAGACAAGGCCTCGCAAGAAAGGATCAGGTTCAAAATGGCGGCTGGTCAATGTTTTAAATTGCAAGCATTAATTTGTGGTGGTTGGAGGCTCTATCCTCTAATAATTTGACCTACTGCCAACAAGACCCTCGCTATGATAAATTGATAAGGCCTGCAGGCAGTCACTGGGGCAGGGCTCAATGTGGCCTGGTTAAATGACCACGTGGCGTAAAAATCACTATTACACTAACGGACTATGGTGGGGCCGAAAGACCCTGACCCCCAAAGCACGTGAGACCTATCTCAAAGATCAAGAAAAGGCTCCAAACGAGCGCAATAAACAAAGGAAACTGTTATTTTACTTTGTTCCCTGCACGGCAGCCTCAAAATGGCGGCTGCGACTTGCTCTCCGTAGGGAACGGCACTGAAGGCTTTGAAAGGAAGATTGTTGGTGTTGGGGCCGGACGCTGTGGCAGCGCTAAGCGCTGCGCCGAAAATTGAATCGACAGGCAGCCTCCGAATAGCAGGCAAGAAAAACGACTTGTTCTTGACTTCGTTGCCTCCGGCGGCAACCAAAATGGTGCCTGCGGGTGTTCCCGGCTCCAGAGATGGTCCGGAGGCCCCAAATTCAAAAAGAAAGTACAAGCTTGCAGTACGAGATTCTGCTCGGTTGTAGGAAAAAAATGGGGGAAGAAGGATGGGTATTCAATGGCAAGCCTGCCAAAAGAATTTTCCCCAGAGCCCTGAGAAAATCAGGAAAGGAAAGCTGCAGGAGCCTCTCCCCCCCCCCCCCACTTCCCACTCCCCAATCTTTAATTCTAAATTAGCACTGATCCCAGTGATAAGGGAAAAATTTGAGGGAGGATTCCAAATTAGGATTTATAAATTAAGGGAGGATTCCAATTAATATTCAGTCAATTTAGAGGAAAAAGGAGAATTCACCAATGGATCTCTGACCTGCTATCTGTTGAGAGCCAAACCTGATACGTCTTCAAGAGCTGAGACCAAGTTAAGACTGGATCTCCTAACAAGAAGGGGCGTGTCAAGTTTGGCTACTTGGTTTCAAGAGCAGGCAGACAGAGAAAACCCATTGGTGGATTCTCCATCTCCTGTAGTGGAGAAAGAGAGAGGGAAAGGAGAGAGAAAGAAAGAGAAAGAGGGAGAGAGAGGGAGGGAGGGAGGGAGGGAGGGAGGGAGGGAGGGAAAGAGAGACAGAGAGAGACCCTTTTGATATTTAAAATGAAGATAACACTGTATATATCCTTTTTTACCTTTATTATAGGTGTGTGTGTGTGTGTGTGTGTGTATGTGTATGTGTGTGTATGTGTGTGTATATATGTTTGTATATATATATATAACACACACACATACATATATAATAAAGGTAAAAAAGGATATATGCAGTGTTATCTTCTTTTTAGATATCAAAAGGGTTTTGTGGCTCCCAGTGTTTTGTTTTCGGTGGGAAACGGGTCCAAGTGGCTCTTTGAGTGTTTTGGGTTGCCTACCCCTGCCCTAGTGTTTACAAACAAGTTCCAAAATTACGAATGTTGCAACACCACAGCAGTCGTTCACCCTTATGAATGATGGCAGAGGCACTGCAACATTCACCCTGACTAGAGCCAAGGTGGCGCAGCAGATAGAGTGCAGTACTGCAGGCCACTTTAGCTGACTGTGTTCAGCAGGTCAGCGGTTCAAATCTCACCGGCTCAAGGTTGACTCAGCTTTCCATCCTTCCGGGGTAGGTAAAATGAGGACCCAGATTGTTGGGGGCAATGTAAATATATATATACATTGCTTACTGGTGTACACTTCTTAGAGAGTGCTTGCACTTAAGGCGGTATATAAGTCTCATAAATAAATAAATATTCCCTCCCCAACCTGCCATCGGGTCTCCAAAGGCACTAGGCCTGGAGATACTCATCTTGCAAAGATCTAGAGAGCCTTCGTTTCTTGGCCTGTTTCGCTGCTTCAGGCCTTCGATGTGTTCGCAGAGAATGGAGGCCTAAAGTACTGCAAGATCAGTAGGGTTAGATCTCATGCTACTGATCTTGCATGATCTCACGGTACTTTAGGCTTCTGTTCTCTGTTCTTTGCCATCCTTGAAAAAAGCCTCGCGCGTCAGTCCCAGCCTCCATTTTCATCAGCAAAGGCCTTTCCTCAAGCACATTTTGCACTGATACTGGAAGCCTGAAGTCATGCAATATCATGCCCTCCAGAAGCTTCCAGTCTCAGCGCCCAAAGTGTTTGCAAGCTGGCCAGATGCTTTGAGGCAATGATTTCGCTGACCCAAAGCCTCCTTTCAGCTTGCAAACATTTAGTGCCCAAAGTAAAAAGTTCTGGGTGCCGTGATCTTGTGCGGCAGAGACAGCTCGCTAGATCTCCGCAAGGTAAGTGACCTGTCATGCAGAATGGCGGGAGGGGGCAATTGTGGGGAGTATGAGGTATCTCAATGACTAGGGGGAAGCCTTGGGTGGTCTGAAGGAGCTAGCCTGTTCCATCACTATGGCCTTCCCCACCATGGGATACCTCATGTGCATTTAACAAATCATACATTCAATTAGCAAATGTGTGGGCAAAAACAGGGAATGATCGTGTTCAAGGTACATCATTCATTCCTACAAATCCTCGAGTTACGAATGAAATGGGCAGGCTCCATTACATTTGTAACTCAAGGACTACCTGTAGTCAACTGACTAAAGCAGGCATGCCAAACACGCAGCCCGTGAGCCGGATGCGGCCTGCACAGGCCACACCAACCCTGGCCCTATAAGGGCAAAACAAGTCCTAATACGCCTGGACTAAAGGATGCCAAACACTTCCTCTTCACAGATTCAAATCTTTAGCAATTATAGTATTACACATTTTTAAACACCTATTTTCTTTAAATATCCTTATCTTTCCTTGCAAATAGCATATGAATTACTAAATTGTCAGCAATAAAATCTTCTCCATTTAAACTATTTCCATCTATTACCTCATTAATTCCATGGTAAAAACTTGTGAGATTTAGTTTCCAGTTAAAGCTATTTGCAGATAACAAAAGGTGCTCTTTGAGCCTAGTTGTTTGCTTGTAGATGTTTCATTTTCCAATTAGGTAACATCATCAATCAGTGCTATTGTGTGGGGAGTTTGTTTATATTTAGTAACTTGCCCTGCCACTTTTGGAGGAGGTATATTTTTCTCCTTGGTAATATTTCTTGATTACGCCATTGCTCTCTGATTGACTTGATTGATAATTGATTGCCTGGTGTTAATCCCTGTTTGCCATTGTGTTGACTGTTGGAGAGGAGAAGTTACATTTCACAAAAAGCATTGCTACACTTTCTTTATTCTGTGGAATGTTACAGTAAATTACACTTTTGGTTATGAAAATAAAAGCTTTGAATTTACCTGATAGATGTCTGATAAACTGCTACTCCCAGAATCACTGGCAATGCTACAGCCAGATTGACTTGAAGGGACATGTGTGACCTGCGGATGCTGATTATCTGTGAGATGCATCTTGGTAAGGTCTGCTGGAAGCTGTAAAGAGGGGAAAAAAAATAATTGGACAGTCTTTATAAAAATACAGGTAAACAACATTCTTATTCAGAGTCCAAAATATCTTTTCAGTGGGAAGAATTTGTTTACTGGTAATATATGAATTTATCTCTGAATGGCAAACTTCTATAGATAAGAATACAGGGTGGCATGTTCTCAAGGGTTTAAAATCATTAGCAACTGTGGAAAACATCATGGATTAGTGTTTTAATAACTCCAAGGAGACATTTTCAAAATAAAGTTTTGTTGTAAATTAAATATTTGGAGAATTATTATTGCCATTTGACTGAAATCATCAAGTATAAGTAGAATTACAATTGAATCTGAATGAGTGGAAAACACCTTACCCAATGGAAAGGTTCATTTTCTCATTCACTCGGACCTATTCTTTTATCTTGTTTGTTTAAAGTTCATTAAGACTTGTGGGTCTTTCCCAAATTGATACTGGACACAAATTAATTTGTAAACTATTTTTAGAAAATAAGGAGGTGATGAAACAGCAACAAGAAGAACAAACATGTAAGAGATAGTGTCCATGTTGGTATTTTAAAAAAGAATGGGTAGAAAGAGTACATAGGTGTATTTCTGTATCTTTATAGGTTGATCCCTATTGCTATTTTGCTGTAGCAGTTAAAAGGCTTTGTTTGCTGTTCTGTAAGTCTTTATAAAATAAACCAAGGATATTTGTGTGGTTGGATATTCGTGGCTATGTTGTACATTCCTTTACTACTGAGAGATAAACGGTTGAATCATTTGCTGCCTACTAGAAATTTCAGGATACTTGACATTTTAGGGAAAAATCTAAAGAATGTAATTGGAAATAAATTTTAAATACAATGATTATTTTGTTCTTAGGAATGAATATGAAAAGTAAGCTCTGAAAAACAGTGTCTATTTCTTTCAATGGTTACCACAAAAATGCTTAATTATTATTTCTATTTTTATGTATTTCATTGTATGTATACAATGTATACATATGCATATTTTATATCTGTTAATATTAAAAGCTTGGATATTTTAATTTTGATAATTTTTACATGTACAGATTAAATTTTATTTTAGGTTTATTTTCAATATTTGATTTTATTTTGAGCTTTATCAAGATAAATAATGTGAACTGATTATGCCCCCCATTGTCTACTGAAAATTAGATTGATTAGAGTGATTAGACAAATAGTTTTAATCAGCCCCCTCACTGATGGCCAAAATACCAATGTTTAATAGATTTATCCCTGTAGAACAGATATGAATGTTACAAATGGATCTTTAGAACTTGATATGAAAGTGACCCCTTAGAAGCTTCAGCCTCAGTTTTAAATAATTGCTAATCCAAATCCTTAAATTTGGTGGTAGTATAATGTTATGTTAAGATTCTTAAAGAGTTGCCAAGAATACAAATGTTTAAAGGAACTATTGATTCTACCTTACATAATTAAAACCACAGATTTTTAAAATAAATTTGCACATCTGATCGTTATTACAATAATGGTTTGCTTTTCAATATATTAGAGTACATTTTTAAAAAAGAAATTTAATACACATCAGATAGAAAGATATTCAGGATCACTTTAATTACAACAAGCACCAAATTGCCTTTTGTTGGGCTACTTATCTTACTTAAACCATTGTATGTATTAAGATATTTCATTTGCTTTAATCGATTCAGTAGACAAAGTGGATGTTGAATTCAATACCCCTTTACTCCTCTTGACTATGATTGGAAATAACAGAAACTATAATTCAACATCCTCTAAAGTCACAGATTCAACTACACACATAGAGAGAGCTGCTTAAGCAAAAGTTACTTCAAAATATAATTCCCAAAAAAATACATCATTATTTATAGTCAAGCCAAAGTGTGGGATCATCTTCAAAATGGTCCTTTGCAATGCCTTTGCTTTCTAAATTTTATGAAGTTTTGAAATTATATTGTACTCTCATTTTCACAGCAACTTAATAGTATATTGTCATATATATCTTTTGCAAATACAGTAAAATGTCAACTATAATGTGGAAGATTTAAAAAGGGATAGGCAATTTCTGCCTTTTAGGATTAATATTCAAGAGTAAAAGGAACAGTTAAGAAATATACCATAGACCAGCGTTTGGTAGAGCCTTGAAAAAAAATATTCAGATGCCATGAAGCATCTATATTTACAAAAATTAGAATAGTGGAAACAATGTTCCCTCTGACACTCTATTGAAGTGAAAGTTGGTCTTTAAAAAAGCAGTATAGGAAGAATATTAACGCTGTTCAAATGTTGTAGAAATCTCTCGAGAATACCGTGGACACCAAGAAAATAAATATATGGCTCATTAAATAAACCATATTTCTAACTAGAATTCTAACTCAAATTATCCTACTTTTAGCATATTATGTGAAGGCCTAGCTATCTGGAGGAATTTCTAATGTTGGCAAAGGTGGAAGAAAACATTACATCACTGGTAGATCTGAAAGGCCAAGTTAGGGACAGACTGTCATGAAGAAAATCTATCTTTATGGTCTCTAAGAGTTGACAACAACTTGTGATGGCACATAATCAAAATTATTAAAACTATTATTATATCCTTAAAACTATATATACAACAGAGGTCATCTCAATTTTGAAATATTTCCCACATTTTAATATAAAATTAAAATATCTGGTTCAGAAACAGAGTGTTCTGCATGATTGCTATTAAAATTTGCATTTTAAGATACGCATTAGTGCCTCTATCTGACATGAGGTAGTAAAAACACTTTTTTTCCAGTGAAAGATTTCAATTGTGTTCTGAGTTCTTCAGTTTAGCTCATTTCAAAATCAAATGAAACATGTGAACTTTTTCAAAAAAGAAAATTGAGCTCAGACCGAAAGTCTCTAAAACAGTATTTTCCAGAATACTTCTGCTAAAGAACAACAGATGCTAATTAGTGAAATTGTTCCAAGGACATTAGGAAGTTTCCAAATTTGGATAGTAAAAGTAAAATCAGCTTCCAACAGATTGGGCAGAATATCAGCCTGCTTAAAATAACAAGCAGGCAAGCTGGGGGTTGGAGGGTGATCATTTCTCTGACTGAGAATTGGATTTCAGACCTCTCATCAGATGACTATCTGATATGCATTGATATGATCTCTTTAGGGAACCACAAAGTCAAGTTCTGAACTATAATACCCTGTATATAATACAACATCCTAACTATTCTCTTTGAATGTGCCTAAATACCAAATACTGGTTCATATAGAATTATCATGGGAAATTATGCAGAGATGAACAAATGAGTTAATAATTCTAGCATAGTGAAAGTTACTACACATATGTTAACATTAAATAAGCATATGCATGGTACCATCAAAACTGCTTTTACAATAGTTCACAAAGTAAAAATAAAAATAGTCCAATATCAATATCTAAAACTATGCACCCAACTGCAGATATGTTTGTTTTGAAAGTTTTAGAAGACTCTTGGTTATTTTAATGAGATGAATGCTTCTTACATCTGAGAGGGAATAACATTTTAATTCAGGCAAGCTGGCTGAAGAATTCTGAGAGTTGAAGTCCACAAGTCATAAAAGGGCCAAGTTTGAAGACCCCTGTTTTAATTAGATGTTTAGAAGTAACAATATCTGGCTACTATTCTAGAGAAGTACTTCGGTTAAAATTCCTGAATTCTGCCCACAAAATTGACATTACTTTTAAACTGCCCGTGTAAATTTCAGTCTCTATTTTCTATATTTATTTATTGTTCATATGCTGAATTGTGTGAGTGAACTATACTGTTATGATAGAGACATGATATCAACCATTCATGTATGTATGTATGTATGTATGTATGTATTATGTATGTATTATGTATTTATTTACTTATTTCTTTCTTTATTTCTTTAAATTTATATGCATTTAAACACTTGTTAAAATGAACTGTAGACTAAGCTTACAATACTCAGTATAATGCAACCTATTTAACAGTGGATATCTGAAAAAATAATCAAACATGTTTTGCAGGAGAAGATTTGCCCCCTCCAAGCCAGATCATTACCTGACTTTAAAATTCTTCTTACAAGCATTCTTCTGACAAATAATAGTATTACTTGTTCAACTGCCTGAAAAAGCTTCCTTCAAATGTATATTCCATTCCCTCCCTACCTGTGGTATGGATTATTAATATATTCACTTTATTGTAATTATCTCAGGAACTTTCTTTTTTCTAAGAATACTAATTACATAGCAGAATCTAATAGTAGTCAAGCTATAGTGCTGTTTCTCTCTATCTTGGAAAGACCCTTCTGAATTTGCCCTTACTGGCAGATGACTGTCTTACTAGAAACGTGCATTTTTCTGTGTTGCTCTCCAAATATGGAACATCCTCTTAAGTATGGCACTATGCCCCCAGTTATTTGTTTTACAAAATCAATACACCAAATGTTTTGCCATAATCGTTAAATATTTTAAATTAAATTAGTTTGATACTGCTCATTTTTAAAATTTTGTTAACCATCTTGAGGTTAAAGGCCAGAGTGTAAATCAAAAAAGTAAATATTTGCTTTTCTTAGATTGTGGGACATATATAAATGGATATCCTGCTTCAGTTAGATTTTATCACTTTATTTCCTCATCTCAATTTTCAATATATGACACATTGTCCAAAATCTATTTTTCCTTCACTTTTCTGCATTCCTCAATACAAGAAATAAATTTTGAGATGGCTGCCAGCTGCTTGATTGCATCAAAATCATCCATCCTTTTTTGTACCACAGCTAACTTATGTTTTTTAGACATTAGGCATCTTTAAACTTTTTATATCTTTTTAAAAAGATTTATTCACCTCTTTTTATGAAATATGTGGGTAACATGAAAACAATTGCTCCAAGGCTTTATCTTTATCTTCCATTCATACACATTCCCATTGCAAATACCACAATGGATCTGACAACAGTGACTTTAAATTCAAGGGTCTTGAATGAACTCACCAAGTGAATTTGGGTTTTGCTTCAGTTCTATAT